ACAAATGGCCGAAAGAAGGGAGTCTCCATTGATTTCGAGCATTTCCTTCCGAAAAACGAGCCGACGACGGAGCCCAGATGTTCGGATTTGCCTCCCTTTTATGGACTCGAGAGACAACATTTATAGCTTTTCTTGAAGGATCTCAGAATCTAGTGCGAGGAGAATACGAGGAAAAGATGGTTTTTCGAAAATAAAAATATACGGAAGTAAAAAAATTGTATGAAAAGAAGGGTTAAAATGTGGCATGCTCCTTTAAAAACGGTCTCAACTGGATTGTAAAAGGAGGAGGTGACGGATAAGAAAAGCTGAAAATAATCAGACTTCAGGTCAGATCCAATACTTTGAAAAAATCGTAGGATACAAAAAGAAGCTCAATTTTCCTGGATGAAGTCAAAATTAAGCTCAAGGTCTTCGAAAGATGACAAAAAGTTAATGATAATGCTCCTTTAAATGGCTTTTTAGTAGATCAAATGAAACAAAAGCTGGAAAATTAACAGTAAAACCAGCCCAAATTTCAGGATTTTCGAGTATGCTCCTTTAAAAAAGGTCTTGATTGGATGGTCTGAAGGAAGAGGCAAAAAATAAAAATAGAACGAATAAAAGCTCAATTTACCTGGGTAAAGTCAAAATTAAAAAATTCCATGGTCTTCTGAAGATAATGAAGTATTTTCTGACTATGCTTCTTGAAATGCAAACCAAACAAAGCAAAAGCTGAAAAATAACACTCAATTAATGCACCTGAAAACCGTAGAATCCTAGAAAAAGCTTGACATTACTGAATTGAATCAAATATCCAACTTAAGGTAGCCCCAAAATCTTCTGAAAATAGTTAGAATTTCGCTGGACATGTTTTTAAATGGCGTTTTAGTAGATCAAAGGAAGCAAGAGCTGGAAAATTAACAGTAAAAAGAAGTAAAAATGTCCAAGTTCAGGATTTTCGAATATGATCCTTAAATGGCGTTTTACTGGATGACCATGCTCCTTTAAAAAGGGCCTTGAGTGGATCGTTTGAAGGAAGAGACGAGAAGTTAAAATAGAACGAATACAGGTCTCATTATTCAACCAAGAAATTGTAGGGTCCTAGGAAAAGCTCCTGAACAAAGTCAAATATCCAACATAAGGAAGCCAAACATCTTTTGAAGATTATTAAAATTTCTCCGGCCATGCTCCTTTAAATGACGCTCCAGAAGATCAGATGAAGCAAAAGCTGGATAATTGACAAAAAAAATTTAAAAAACAAAAAGCTATACAAAGCTCAACAAAACAGGCTCAAATATCAAGATTTTTGAGTACGCTCCTTTAAAAAAGGTCTTGAATGGATCTTCCGAAGGAAGAGGCGAGATATGAAAACAGAACAAATGAAGTGTCAATTTAGGACTAATAAATCAATTTGAAAATCGTGAGGTTCAAGGAAAAGCCAAAATTTCTTAGATAAAGTCGAAATTAAGGGATTTTCAAGGTCTTCTGCTCTTTTTATGTTCCTTTAAAGGGCTCGAGAGTCCATAGACAAAAATTATCTGGCCATGCTCCTTTAAATGACTTTTAGTAGACCAAATGAAGCAAAAGCTGGAAATTTAACAGTAAAACAAAAAATTCAAATTTCAAAATTTCACAAAATACCCATTTTGATGGTTTTTTTAATGAATCAAATAGAGCAGAAGCTGTAAAATTAACAGTAAAAAAAAATTTCAAGTCCCAGAATTTCACGAAATACTCATTTTGATGGCTTTTCAGAACATCAAATGGAGCAGAAGCTGGAAAATTAGCACTATAAAGAGGCCAAAAATGTCAAATTAGAGGAGATACTCCTTAAAATGAGGATGATTCCGGGCGAAAGCCGAGAAATTGAGTGTGAAATGTGTCGGAGGGAGAAGATTGTTGTTGCGAATTGACGGAAGGGTCGTCGGGTCGAAGAAGTTCCTCCTCTTGTGTCCAGAAAGATTTCTTACACACTCCTCCAAGGGACGGGGGGGAGGCCAGCGGCGCCCACTATAAACTTTCGCGCGCTCTTCGTGGTTTTAACTGCCCATTCCTCTTCCTCCGGACTAACGATTTGCGGCCACCGCCGTCGTTTAACTAAGTGCCGGCTTTTCCCGAGAAACCGCAGGAAAAAAGACCGGGAAAACAATCAGTTTGATGCTTTTAAAAGCGACTGAACATTCAAAGTACCTTAGTATGGTTTGAAAAAGGTCCTGCTTTTTTGATTACTTGCAGACCGTAGAAAAAAAGGCTTCTAAAAGAAATAATGATAAGTAAAAAAATTATTTTAAGATGGAAAAGGTTCCAATTTTGAGGTTCAAGAAGGTTCCGATTACCTTTTGGAGGTTAAAAATGGTTCCGATCACCTTTTTGAAGTTTATAATGGTTCTGGTCACCTTTCTGAAGTTCAAAAATGGTTCCTATTACTTTTTTAAGGTTAAAAATGGTTCCGACTACCTTTTTGAAGTTTTTAATTGTTCTGGTCATCCTTATGAGGTTCAAAATGGTTGCGAATATCTTTTTAATCTTTAAAATGGTTCCGATCATCTTCTTATAATAGAAAATGGTTCTTTGAGAGATTTAGAATGGTTCTAATCAACTTTTTAAGGTCCAAAATGGTTCTGATAACCTTTTTGGGGGTTCGAGATGGTTCCGATTACTTTTTTTAAAGGTTCAAAACAGTTCTGATCACCTTTTTGAGGTTCAAAATGGTTCTGGTCACCTTTCTGAAGTTCAAAAAAATGGTTCCTATTACTTTTTTAAGGTTAAAAATGGTTCCGACTACCTTTTTGAAGTTTTTTTAATTGTTCTGGTCATCTTTATGAGGTTCAAAATGGTTGCGAATATCTTTTTTTAATCTTTAAAATGGTTCCGATCATCTTCTTATAATAGAAAAATGGTTCTTTGAGAGATTTAGAATGGTTCTAATCAACTTTTTTAAGGTCCAAAATGGTTCTGATAACCTTTTTTTGGGGGTTCGAGATGGTTCCGATTACTTTTTTTAAAGGTTCAAAACAGTTCTGATCACCTTTTTGAGGTTCAAAATGGTTCTGGTCACCTTTCTGAAGTTCAAAAAAATGGTTCCTATTACTTTTTTTTAAGGTTAAAAAAATGGTTCCGACTACCTTTTTGAAGTTTTTTTAATTGTTCTGGTCATCTTTATGAGGTTCAAAAATGGTTGCGAATATCTTTTTAATCTTTAAAATGGTTCCGATCATCTTCTTATAATAGAAAAATGGTTCTTTGAGAGATTTAGAATGGTTCTAATCAACTTTTTTTAAGGTCCAAAATGGTTCTGATAACCTTTTTGGGGGTTCGAGATGGTTCCGATTACTTTTTTTAAAGGTTCAAAACAGTTCTGATCACCTTTTTGAGGTTCAAAATGGTTCTGGTCACCTTTCTGAAGTTCAAAAAAAGTTCCTATTACTTTTTTAAGGTTAAAAATGGTTCCGACTACCTTTTTGAAGTTTGTAATTGTTCTGGTCACCTTTATGAGGTTCAAAAATGGTTGCGAATATCTTTTTTTAATCTTTAAAAATGGTTCCGATCATCTTCTTATAATAGAAAAATGGTTCTTTGAGAGATTTAGAATGGTTCTAATCAACTTTTTAAGGTCCAAAATGGTTCTGATAACCTTTTTGGGGTTCGAGATGGTTCCGATTACTTTTTAAAGGTTCAAAACAGTTCTGATCACCTTTTTGAGGTTCAAAATGGTTCTGGTCACCTTTCTGAAGTTCAAAAATGGTTCCTATTACTTTTTTAAGGTTAAAAATGGTTCCGACTACCTTTTTGAAGTTTTTAATTGTTCTGGTCATCTTTATGAGGTTCAAAATGGTTGCGAATATCTTTTTAATCTTTAAAATGGTTCCGATCATCTTCTTATAATAGAAAATGGTTCTTTGAGAGATTTAGAATGGTTCTAATCAACTTTTTAAGGTCCAAAATGGTTCTGATAACCTTTTTGGGGTTCGAGATGGTTCCGATTACTTTTTAAAGGTTCAAAACAGTTCTGATCACCTTTTTGAGGTTCAAAATGGTTCCATTACTTTTTCTATAATTGAAAATGGTTCCGACTACCTTTCTGAGGGTAGAAATGATTCCGACTCTCTTTTTGAGATTGAAAATGGTTCCGATCATCTTCTTAAAAGTCAAAATGGTTCCGATTATCTTTTTGAAATTTAAAAAAATAGTTCTGAAAACCTTTTACAGGTTCCGATTACCTTTTCCAAGTTAAAAAAATGTTTCTTAATACTTTGTTGAGGTTCAAAAACAGTTCAGATTACCTTTTTGAGGTTCAAAATAATTCCGACTACTATTTTGAGGCTAAAAACTGTTCCGACTACCTTTTAAAGGTCGAAAATGGTTCTGATAACCTTTTTGAGGTAGAAAAAAGTTTCTTATCACCAGTTTGGGGCTGAGAAAAAGAATTCGAACGAAAATCGAAGTTAGAGTTTGAAAAAATCAAAAAAATTTTTGATACCTCTTCCAACTCTTCATGATTTCAAAATAGGCTTTGATTGACTAAATGAATAATTTTCTTACGACCTAGACCATGAACGAGTTAGTAGAAGCCTGAAAAATTCGAAACATCAAAAGCTTGGAAGGGTAACTACTGAAAAACTTTGGATAGTTTTTTGGGACCCATGAGGGACCCCTATAGGGGTCCTAGGAATGTTTCCTGTATAGAAAGTTTCTTTGAGGGTGAATTTTGGAGGGCAAGTTTTAAAATATATTTGGAACCTCCTAAAAAGGCTCAAGATTTTTTTCTGTATATTAAAAAAATCAATAAATCTTCAAATACAGTAAACCCATACTCTTTCCATTCTCAACTTTATTAGAAACAACAAAAAAGTCAAGTTAACAACAATTGATAGCAAGTAAGGCAACAAATACACGCTTTTCTCATTAAAGTGAAATTTTTTGGTTCATTTGATCTTCCAACTTGATTATTTCTCTTGGTTATCAGTGGAATCAAAGAAATTTACTTGGAGTTGCTTAATTTTTGGAGTTGATCCCGATTTTCAGCTCGAAGTATGGCGATGACGGGACCAACGGTCGTAGAAATCGATCAGTTTGTGGAGGGTCAGGTCTGAAAAAATCACTAGATTGACCACTTGAAGAGAACCGGCTCAAATGGAAAGAAGTAAAAGACGAATCTAAGTGGTCCCTGAAGGGAAACAACTTGAGATAATACTTGAAGATAAAAAACTAATTTGGAGAAAATCAGACGACTCTAAGTGGTCCCTGAAGAGAAGTCCCTCGAGTGGTCACTTGAAGAGAATCGACTCATTTGGAGGAATAAGACAACTCCGAGTTAACACTAAAGAGAAATCACCAGAGTTACACTTAGAGAGTATCGATTTCATTGGAAAAAAAAAAGGAGACGAATCTTGGTGGCCACTAAAGGGAAACGACTTGAGTGATCAATTGAAGATAACCAACTAAATTGGAGAAAAAAGGAGGCGACTCTAAGTGGTCACTGAAATGAAACTACTCGCGTGTTCACTTAAAGTGGACCGACTCAGTTAGCGGAAAGCAATCTCTTCGAAGTGGCCACTAAAAAGAAATCCCTCAAGTGATCACTATAAGAGAACCGACTCGTTTGGAGAAAATCGGACGACTCTAAGTGGTCACTAAAATGAAATCACTCTAGTCACTTGAGGTCACTTGAAGAGGACCGACTCAATTGGAGAAAATCAGAAGACTCTAAGTAGTCACTAAAGGGAAATCACTCGAGTGGAAACCTGTTTGTGACCACTAGATTGAAATCACTCGAGTGATCACTTAAAGAGTATTGACTAAATTGAAAAAAGACACGAATCTTATAGATAACTTGAGTGAAACAACTTGAGTGATCACTTGAAGAGGACTTTTTAAAGAGGGAAATAAAGAGACGACTCTAAGTGGTCCCTAGAGGGAAATAACTTGAGTGATCACTTAAAAGGGTCTATTTGTCGAGTAAAAAAAATTCAAGCGAATTTTTCTAGAGCCCTTTTGACTATTGAAAAATGCCAAATATCTTGAGAAACTTCAATTTTTTCAATTAAAAGGAAACTCTAAATAAAACTAAATAAAAAATACAACTTGAATGAGTATATTTTGGATTTTTCTAGAATCTCTTTTCGCGGTCCATTTTTATTTATAATCCTAATCTTCGAGATTCCCGGTAACTCCATCCGTCGCGAAAAGCTCACTTTCATCAGTCGCCATATCCTGGTACTTCTCGGTGTCGTCGACGAGGACGGCGACGAGGGTCGCGTGGCCGCCGTTCTCGCCGGTTTTGGCGTGTTCGCGAGCCGAAGCGATCAGCGTCGCGGCGCACGTCTCCACAGTCGTCGCCTCGACGATTCGCAGCCGATTTCGCGCCTGTCCGCGTTGGATTTCGCGCAGGGCGGATCTCACTCGTTCGCCGGTGTGCTGAAGTTGAAAAAATTGAAATTATATCATTCTAAAATCATGCTTACTATTGATGATATGAAAAATGAAAAAATAGCTTCGGAATTTCTCAACTTATGCGCTCCACGGTTAAATTTCCTTTAAAATTCATCCTTATATTCAATTGGAAATTTCAAACTAATCGAAGAAAATTTAAACAAAACCACTTAAGCGATCCCTTTCAACCTTCGAACATAACCGTTAGAATTTCAAGTTCCACTAGTGAGTCATTGAAAACTTCGACGCCACAGTGTTCACTTTAGGGCAACTTACGAAGCTCTAAAGGGACCACTTTTAAGTTTTGCGTATAGCTAGCCGTTCTAATCAATCTTCAACTGTTTCTCTGCAGAAAATCCCTCAAGTGATAACTTCTAAAGTTAAGCGCCAAAGCAGTCACTTAAGAATTTTCAAGGCTCTTAAGTGGTCCCTTTGGGTCACAATGGACGCTGAAGTTCTCACTTTGAAGCGAATTATAATACCCTTAAGAGATCACTTCATCATTTTTCGTCAAAGCAGTCACTCAGGACAAATTTAAAAGCCCTTAAGTGGTCAGTTTGAAGTTTTCTGGGCAGCTATCCGTTCCAATCAGTTTTCAACCATTTTCTTGAAAAAAACTCCTTGGATGACAGCTATAAAAGTTTTTCGACAAAGTAGTCACTCAGGACAAGTTTAGAGTCCTCAAGTGGTCACTATAGGGTAGAGGGTCATTACAGAAGTCCTTAAGTGGACCCTATGGAGTATAAAGTCCTCCCAGAGGCCCTAAAGTGGTCACTATGAAGTAGAAGGCCCTTAAGTGGTCACTATGGAGTAGAAGGTCCTTACAGAAGTCCTTAAGTGGTCACTAGAGATTAGAAGATCCTTAAGTGGCCACTATAAAGTAGATTGTCCTTACAGGAGCCCTTAAGGTAGGGACCGCAAAGCCACGCCCCTTTTCGCGATAGAAAAAGTGGCTTTTTTTTGGTTTTCAACTTTCCTTTTGCTGTAGTTGCAAAATATGTGGAACTGGCTAATAAAATTTGGCACACATGTACAGAAAAGCTTCCTCTTTCGTTTAAAAAATATTTCACGCTTTTTTGATGCGTTCGCGCGGAATGTCGTACAAAAACGTGAATGGAACTAAAAAATTTTGTCGTTTTTTGCTTTTTCATGTGTTTTCAGGTCGAACGCACTCTTTCTTTTTTTATATAATGATTTTGATTCAAGTAACGGTAATTTTAAAACAATAAAATAAAAAATTCGTCTTTGCCAAAAATTTTAGGGAGCGCCGAAAGTCATAATTCAAAATATCGTTAATAAGCGAATATAATCGAGTTTTTTTTTTTTCAAAATTTAGACCATGGGCTTACGTAAATTTTTTTCTCCACAGAATATGTGCTTGAAAAAAAGTTGTTTATTACGCAAAAAAATGCTCTTGAAACTAGAGAATAAAAATTAGCGGCGTTTATCACACCGAAAGCGGTCGAACGCAGGTTTTTTTCAAACGATTATATACATTTATTAGTAAAAAAATCTTTCAATTAAAAAGAATAAAATAAAAAAATTCGTCTTTGCCAAAAAAATTTACGGGGCCGTTTTTAATGCAGTGATCGTTAAACGAGGCAAAAAAAGCACTAAAAAAACAGTTTCGAAAAAGTTTGAGTAAAGATTTGCGAACATATTCTGATAAAAATAGCTTAATTACTTCAAGTTTTTTTTTTTGAAATAGGCAATCTGTGCTATTCAAGCGGCTCAAGGGTATGGGGGATGGAAACTCCCTTCGCTAGACCTAACAGCTTGGCGCAGCGCGTGCGCTGCGATTTTTCATTTTGAGGTCGCGAGTTCAATGCCCGCAAGCGCCAGTTTTTTGTTTTCTGGAAAAATACCGACTTTTTTTCGGCAAACTAGCTGATGAGCATCATTTTAGCACTCTATTATGATTTGTTACATCATAATAGACCAGTATCAAAACTAGTTCTAGAAAAAAAATCGAGAAAAATGTCAAAAATGGATAATACCAAAATTTCAGTACTAAAAAAATGGCGCGCGGCGCGCCACATTTTTCGTCATAACTTTTTTCATCCTCAATCTTTTTCGAAAAACTAAACGGTTCTGAGTTTTGAATCGAAACAGCTATCAAACCATACAAAGCTCAATGCTGAAAAAATTTTTTTGAAAATTCGTCTGCGGTCCCTACCTTAAGGGGTCACTATAGAGTAGAAGGCCCTTACAGAAGTCCTTAAGTGGTCCCTATGGATTTGATGTGAGTTTCAAGCATCCCTTAAAGTGATTTATAAGGTCATTATCTTCTGACCACTCAACAAAATCAACTCTAAAGTGGGCCCTTTAGCGTTTTAACAAAAATCAATGTCTACATATTCCTATACTCTTCAAAATTCAGTGTGCAAGATCTACCTTCATTTTATCGCACTCGGCGAGAACGGAAGAAGGGACGACGAAAATGAAGGCGTCGGAGGCGATCAATCGAGTCGCCAGGTTGACATTTTTGACGATGGCGTCGTAGTCGACCACCACGTAAACCGGCACCCAATCCAGGTGTTTTCCCGAGTTTTCCGGCTGAAACTCGTTAAAAATCAGTCAAAGCGCATTGCCTAGTCTAGTGCGGTATAAGAGCGATGTCGCTGGCGATATCGCGAATTACCCGCTTTGTCGCCTTTTTTTTGGCGCGACATCGCCTTCTAACGCCAAAAATTGAAAGCTTTCCGAATGGCAGGCCGCGCCAAGGGGTATGCAAAACAAGGGCGCAGGATTTTTGCGATATCGCAAAGGTGCCGCGAGCGACTTCGCTTTTGTTTCGACAGTGTTTAAAGTGAAGGAAAAATGAGATTTTTCGAGTCCTCTCGACTTTTTCGAAAATACTTTCAATGAAATCGGTACCTTTTTTTGAAACTTTTCCGCATTTTTTACAAGCTGAAAACTTTTCTCGTCATTTTCTGCTTGCGACATCGCATTTATCCCGCCCTTATAACGCAAAAAAAATTCGAAAGTTTTCAAAATGAGACATCGCGCCAAGGAAAAAGCAAAACAAGGGCGCAGGATTTTCGCGATATCGCAAAGGTGTCGCGAGCGAATTCGCTTCCCGCAGTTACCTTTAGTGAGCGAAAAGCGCATTTTTTCACATAAAAACTATAGTCATCCGCTGCGACTTAAAATGTTTCTAGTGTCTGCGTCTCTCTGTCTCTCACCAGTCAGAGAAATGGAAACAGTAGGTCAAAATGAGAGGTGTCGAGAGACGAGGAGGGCGCAGAGAAAAACAGCACAAATTATCTCTGTGCTCTCTCTCTCTCTCCCATACTTTCTAAGACCTGGTCGGTGTGAGAGAAGAGAGCGCAGACAGGTCAGACAGTTCGATAAGGAAAATTCAGTATACCTATATAATTATAAAGGTTATGGACTCAAAAATGACGATGAAAATTAATTTCGAGTCGGAGCCACCTGAAGAGCGTCGGAAAGCAGCATCTGCTCCCGCATTTTTCTGGAAAGAGCCTCGAGCTTCTGCCGACGTGCCGACGGACGTCTTCTGAAGAGCGAATTCGCCTCCTCGTCGTCCGATCCGACGGATTCGCTCATCAGGAACTTTTCGATCGGGGCCTCCACGCCGACGGACATTTGCTGCGACCAGAAGACCATCTGGTTGAGGGCTCGGTTGGGGCTGAAGACTTCCTTATATTTTCTTGAATTTCCCTTGAATTTGACCTCAGTCATGGTTGAGAAGCCAAAAGTTCAATCTCAAAAAGTCTTGTTAAAATCAATCACTGACTGAAAGTTGGAAAATTTCACCTTTTGTTGTGCTCCAGAGCGTCTTTTCAGTAGTTTGTTTTATAGATTTTGTGATGAGAATTTCAGCAGTTCATTTTGTTGAGAGAATTTCTAGGACATTACTAACTTTTTTTCTTTTTTTATTTTGAACTAATTTAAAAAAATTTTCTGTTGTGCGCCAGAGCGTCTTCTTAGGGCGTGTTTTGTAATTTTGTTGATGAAAAATTCTATGGTTCAGCGTAATGAAAATAATTTTGAGACATTATCGGCTTACTGTTTTTGATTCGGAATAACTATAAAATAAAAGCCGACTTGTCATTCTCACTTTTGAAACTCTAAAAATTTCCTGTCGTGCGTCAGAGCGTCTTTTAAGGGGTTTTGGTATCAAATTTACGTTATTTTTCACCTCGACTCGTCCAAAACGGGCCCGAAGAGCATCCAACTGGTCTCCTCGTTTAAATCCGACAAAACTTGGGTGGTGAATCTTTTCGTACGGTTCAACTGCTCCACGACGCGGTCACAGAGGTCATCCCAGGTCTGAAAAATGCAAAGAAAGTTTCTTCAAGGTACTGAAAAAAGTTACAAGAAAAACTTTTTAAAAGTATTTTCCTAAGGAAGTTCAACGCTATATGTATTTTATCCTGAAAAGCAGTTTCAAATTAAAAAAATAATTTTCTCTGTAGTGCGCCAGAGCGTCTTTTTCGGGCGTGTTTGGGGGTCGATTTAAAAAATGAAAAACTAAGGACATTTAACGCTATATGAACATTATGGTGAGAAGAAGTTTCGAATTAAAAAAAATTCTCTGTAGTGCGCCAGAGCGTCTTTTTAGGGAGTGTTTGGGGATCGATTTTCTTGATTTTACCTTCAAGACACTCTGCGAAATTTTGGCCGAAGCTTTTTTCATCTCGTTCAGGATCCCATTCGCGTAGTAGATCCACTCACACGCCGTCGCCAGCAAAAGGTATTCCAGCTGCATTTTCTGGAGAAAGATTGAGTTATTCCCGGTAAAAATGTTATTTTATGAGTCATAATTTGTCAGGTGACGAGAAAAACAGTAGAAAAAGTTATGATTTCGATGATTTTTAGGACCATAAACGAAAAATGCCTGGAAGAGGTGGTTTATTTATTCACATGAGCCCAAAAAAATCTGCGAAACAAAATTTCGAAAAGCAAATTTTTTTTTCTAACCCTAGATCAAGCTGTTAACTGAAAATTGAAACTCGTTCCTATAGGGGCAACTTTTTGGGGGGGGCTTTAAATTTTTCTCTCTAGGGACCATTTCCTCTCTTCCTATAGGGGCCACTAAAGACTACGATAGTGGCCCCTAGAGGGAGTTTAGTTAGGAGTACTTGAAGTTCTGACCTGATCCTTCCCCCTCAGAAAGAAGCACTTTTCAGTTCCCTAGAGAAACTGTTTTTCCCCTAACCCCTATAGGAAAGTGGCCCCTAGAGGGGTTTAGTTTGGAGTTACTTAAGGTTTGAATTGAAATTCCCCCCCATCAGGAGCTCATTTGAGTCCTTTAGAAAGGTTGTTCCCCCCCATCAGGAGCACATTTGACGCTACTTTGAGAAACAACAAAGATACCATATTCTCCCACCCTCCCCAAGTTTAAAGAAAACGAAAATTCGAAACCCCCCGAATTTACCTTCTGCTGATCGCCCATGCCGGTCTCGACTCTTTCCGTCTCCAGGTCGTTGAAGCTCTTCTCAATGCCTTCATCTGAACTTTCATCATCGGATCGAGGCGGATTCGAACCGTAATCCTCTGTAAAATGCGAACACACAGTGCTGAGAGACACGACAAGCGGTGAGTAAGAAGTTAGGAAAAATGGCTTTTTCGAAAATGCAAATGCGCTCCAAGGCTAACAAAAGAATTCTCAAGGCATCCAAGGCTATATCCAATTGTTTTTGCGTTCCACTCAATTTGTAAATGACAGAATAAACTGAAATCTTCAAGATTATCCTTAGAGCAAACTTTCCCAAATATTATATCTTTCAAAAAATCCAATGTTCTAAAATGGGAAATAGATAAATGACAATATGTTTACAGGGAAAACGCGCCCCAAGGAAAATAAATCAATTTTCAAAGCAAAATAAATTTTTTCTCGGGTTCAGAAAGACAAAAAGAACTGGCAAAGACACAATTTTCAAAATTATCCTTGATGCAAGCTTTCATGAATTGCTTGAGAGCTTTTTTCATACTTTCTTCTTCGAAATCTCGAAAATTGAAAGAATAACCAAATAGATAGAAGAAAATGCGCTCCAAGGCAAAAAAATTAATTTTGGCTGAGTTATCAAGATCCTCATCGGAATTTTTGCCTTGCAATCAACGAAAAATGAAACAGAAACTCGAAAAATTCTTCAATTCGCTATTTATCGCAAATTTACGTTGAATTCCACGGCAGTTAAAAAAAGCCATGTGGAAAATGCGCTCCAATGCTAATTATTCAAATTTTGATCCCTACAGATTTATATCGGACTTTTCCGTTTCAAGTGGCTCAAAAATAACTGAACTTACTGCAACTCACTAATATTCGCATAGTGGTGAAGGCTTTCAGTTATTTTGGATCCAAAAAATAAATAATAATTTAAAAAAAGTGAGTCAGTTTTTTGAATTTTAGAGTTGAATAAAAAGGCGAAAACCTACTTCGTAAAATTTGAAAAGGAAGAAAAAAACAGTTTGAAATTCGAAGTGTTCCATGGAGCAATATTGCGGCGTGGCCTGGTTTTCCAAACCGACCGGCCTACTTTCCAGCATGCCTTTCATATCGAAAAATTTTGTATTTTCTCTCAATAAAATGGAAAAATTTGAAAATAAGGTTTACCGATCAAAAAAACACAAAAAAACCGAAAAATTCGAAAAAAATATTTTAAATCGATGTTTATCCTTGGAGCGCACTTTCCGAAATTTCTACGGCTATTTTACTGGAACTCTCGTGAAGCCACTAAATTCACTAAAACTTAAAAAAGGTCATGTGGAAAAATGCGCTCCAACGCTAATTAATCGAATTTTGAATCTCCACATATTTGTATCGGACTTTTCGGTTTCAAATGGCTCAAAAATAACTAAACTTACTGAAACTCTCTAATTTTCCTCAAACGTATCAAAAAATTCTGTATTTTCTCTCAAGAAATTGGGAAAATTTGAAAATAAAGATTACTAATCGAAAAAACGAAAACAGCAAAAAAAAATTCGAAAAATTTTTGAAATCGCTATTTATCCTTGGAGCGCACTTTCCGAAACTTCTACGGCTATTTTACTGGAGCTCTGCTGAAACCACTGAATTCACTAAAACTTTAAAAAAAAACGTCATGTGGAAAATGCGCTCTAAGGCTAATTAATCAAAACTTGAATCTCCACAGATTTATATCGGACTTTTCCGTTTCAAGTGGTTCAGAAATAACAAAACTTACTGAAACTCATTAGTGATTGAAATTTTAGAACAACCTCAAAAATTTTCGCATTTTTTCTTGATGAATTAAAAAAATTATCAGTTAGAAACACAGGAAACAGTAAAAAGTTATACACAAAGCATCGAAAATTCCAAAAAATCAGAAGAAAGACGAAAAATCGATTAGGAAATGCACATTTATCATTAACCAACCCATTTCGAGGCTTTCGGAGCTCGAAGATTCATTCAAAGGCTTTTTGAAACTGGTAGTTGGGATATCTTCTTCCTCCTCTTCGTCCGAAAAATGACGACGTTGCTTCCGACGTTCCATCATCTGGAATCAGAATTCTTGAGGACTTTTTTCGAAAATCATCATTTTGATGGATTCAAAAGAAAAAATGATAAGAAATAAGGCCACAATAATGAATAGAGAGTAGTTCCGCAAAGAGATTGCAAACTTACAAAAGTTTGAATTCTGATATATTCTGATCAAAGCGGTAACCTCATAAAAGTTTTCAAAAAGGACAATTTCCTCACTTACTGGTCAAAAAATTGTGAGAAAAAAATAATTTGGACAGCTCTACTAGCCTTTTAGTGAGAAGTTAGCGGTGAATGGACCATCCTTTAAAACACTCATTTTCAGGATCATTCGGCTCGAATCAACCAAAAAACGGTCTTGAGAAGATCTGTGAGATAGTGGGCTAGCAAAAGAGGTTCAGAGAGCTCCAAAAACGCCTTTTTCGACAAGATATCAGTGAATGGACCATCACTCAAAAACCCTCATTTTCAGGGTTCTTGAGCTTGACTCGAAGAAAAAGATGGTCTTGAAACAATTAGCGAAATAGCGCACTAAAAAAAGAGGTTCACAAAGCTCCAAAAAAGCCTTTTTCGACAAGTTATCAGTGAATGGACTATCACTCAAAAACCCTCATTTTCCAGGAATTTTTGGTTTGAAACAATCGAAAAATGGTCGTGAAGTGATCAGCGAAATAGCGCACTAAAAAGAGATGTTCAGACAGCTCAAAAAACGACTTTTTCGACAAGCTATCAGTGAATGAACTATCACTCAAAAACCCTCATTTTCAGGATTTTTTGGCTTGAAAAAATCAAAAAATGGTCTTGAAAAGACCTGTGAGATAGTGTGCTAGAAAAAGAGGTCCAGACAGCTCCTAAAAAGCCATTTTCGACAAGCTATCAGTGAATGAACTATCACTCAAAAACCCTCATTTTCTTCCGTTTTTTCTCACCTTCCGGTCCTCCTCGTCGATCTCCTCCATGACGACCACATCCTTCTCCAAAAGGGCCAAAAAGGCGTTGCAGATCGTCTCGAAAGACGCCAAAAAAGCTCCATCTGAACTTCCGAAAAATAAAGTTTTGATGTCTTGAAGGAAAAACCTCTCGAATACTTGACACTGAGTCGATTGACAAGGCCGATTATCGAAATCAAGAATGGAATTTTCGGATTTTCAACGAGTTTTTTTGTTCTGTAAATTTTTTCAAAATCATTTTTTTGGGAGAAATTTTTCTAAAAAAACTGAAATTTCGTCTGAAAAAAATCAAAAAAATCACCTTAATACATTCCAACCAAGCGTGTGAAGCTTCCTTGAAAGTTTCGCGGCTAAAAAAATAATAAATTCATCATAAATTCATCATTTTTTTCAACAGTAAAATCGCTTTTTTTCAAGATTTTTTTAGAAATCTATACTTATTTTTTTGCTCATCGTAGATCCAATATTTCTTTTTTTCTGATAAAATCATCATTTTTTTAACCAATTTATCAACTTTTTGAACCAATCCATCATTTTTTTATCATATATTATTCATTTTTTTCAATATTTTTTTCTTTATTTTTTAATCATAAATTCACAATTTTTTTGTTATAAATATTTGTAATTTATCATACATTCATTTTTAAAAATCAAATATTCCAATAAATCCGTCATTTTTTTAAACTAAAATTGAGCCCTAAAATGGATCTTTCAAAATTTATCCACTCTAAAAAAAGGAAATTTGAAAAATTTTACTTGAAAATTGAACTCAAAAATCTGCTTAAAAAATAAACTTTTTGTGATGGAAAAAAATATTCTCCCGACTTTTTTTAAATCTTGAAAAACTGTTCTTGTATTCTTTTAAAGAAGCAAAAAATAGAAAAACGAGCCGAAATTGAAAAAAGGCCGATTTCCCACCTAAAAACGAAAAGAATCGCGTTGATAAGCTCCACGGTCAATTTTTCTTCGATTGGCTCTGTCGGAATGGAATCTCTGACGACGTTTGAGGCATTTTTGAGGGCCGACGTGAAAGATTGTTCACTGACGAGGGCCAGGAGGAAATATCTGGAAAATCGGAAGTCATGGGCAAAGTCTAAGAGGTTCTAAAAAGGTCCCAAAAAGGTCCCAAAAAAGGTCTTAAGAAGGTCTCAAAAAAGTCCCAAAAAGGTCCTAAAAAAGTCTCAAAAAGGTCTCATAAAAGGTCTAAAAAAGTCCCAAAAAAGTCCCAAAAAGGTCTCAGAAAGGTCTCAAAGAGGTTCCTAAAAAGGTCTCAAACAAGGTTCCAAAAAGGTCTCAAAAAGGTCTCAAAAAGGTCTCATAAAAGGTCCCAAAAAACTGTAAAAAATCTGCTTTTTTCGATGAAAACTACCTGGAAAACGAAGCATTACAGGGGGAATTTTTCAATGAGAAAACGTGAAAAAAATGATTTTTTTAAAAATAAAGAATGCATGAAAAAAAGAAGAAAAACCATATGAAAAAAATGAGGAAATATTTTTTTACGAGTCGCTTAAAAAAATGAAGAAAAAAATCATATTTTTTTAATATGAATATACGAAAAATCTTGGAAAAATATGATTTTTTTGATTAAAAAAACTTGAAAAAAAGTAGCTTAAAATGAACAAAAAAATCATATTTTTTTAATATGAATGTACAAAAAAATCTTGTAAAATATGATTTTTCAATGGAATCTAAGCAAAAGAAGAAGCTTAAAATGATGAAAAAGGACATCAAAATAAAATTTCTGAAGAAAAAAAAAAAGGAAAAAAGAGAATTTTATTGTGAATCAACGCTAAATAGAGTCTTGACAGTGAAACGTAACTTTTTTCGGATTTTTCGGGTTGCAGAAACCCAAAAACCTTGCAAAAAACGATGAAAACATGACTTTTAACCAGAAAAAGTGTTCAAAAACCAAAAAAATACAAACCTCAGCTGCAGAACGGTATTTTCGGGTTTGGAGGGCAGAAGGATGGCGAGTTGGTTGTAGGCCCGGCCCTGTTCCGGATCGATTTCGACGGCTTTTTGGAAAAAGACGGGCGCCACGGAGACTTGGACACTGTCGGTCATGTATCTGGAAGAAAAAAGGCTTGAAAATGAGAAAAATCCGTGGAAAATAGTCCCGATGAGATCAAGATAAGCAAGAAAAAGCTCAAAAATCCAATTTTTGAATCTAAAAATGCCGTTGGATGAAAAAACTCCACAATTTTTCAGAAGAACCTTAAAAAACAGTTCAAAATTGTGATAAGGAGCTCATTTTCATAAAAAAAAATCTGAAATTTTCAAAAAAATTAGGTAAAGATATCTGGATTTTTCACACAAAAAAATGCACCTTGTTATAAAAAAACAAACTTTCTTTTTTTCGTATTAAAATACCTTTCTGGAGGTTGCTTTCAGAAAAAGAAAAAAACTACGTAAAAATAAAAAAATAAGAAAAATTTTTTTCAAAATTGACTTTTCTGGATTAATTTTTTTCCCGCTAATTGATTGAATTTTAGCTACTTTTTCAACATTTTCCGATTTTTCCTAAGAGCGTTAGAGTGATCCCTATAGGGTTTCGGAGGAAAAACGGTCGCTTATAGAATTTTTAAACTAAAATAACCGTTTGTCGAAATTTTCCTTCAAAAAACGCTAATTTAATATTTTTTCGCATGGAAATGCTTCTTCTCACAGTGTTCCTATCAATATGCAACTTAAATTTCCCCTATAAGGGCCACTTTACAAACTTCAGTGGTCCCTAAAGAGGGGAGGTAAGGTGTTCGCTAAAGGGAAATATTCAAGCCCCCCCAAAAGCGCCCCTCTAGGGGCCACTCTGGCCTCCCTGAGCTACCTATGCAAATCGCCAAGGTACAGGTTGTACAGGGCCGCGTATCTGACGGATTTGGCCAAAATCCCTTGGATTTCCCCGCAAAACATCATCGCCAACACGTTGCAGTAGACGTCAGAGCCTTCTTCCTGGAAAAAATCAGGATTTTCTTGGGAAAATTGTAATCTTTAGTCGAAAAATCATGTAGCAGACTTCGAAAAACTTGAAAAAAGAGCTGAAAAATTTTTTAAAGAATTTTTAAATTTAAAAAAATCACTTTTTAATCCTCTCCAATGCATCAGATTGCTTGTAGAAATTTGGGTAATTTTAAAATTTATGAAAAAAATTCGAAGTGGTTCTTATAAGGACGCCAAAAGCTCTAGAGGACCGTTTAGAAAACACTACAAGAACCACTTAAAATCAGGCCCCTTTAAGGATCAAAAAATTGGCCCCTACAGTGGTCCCTAAAACACTCCAAAATACCTCAAAATGGTCGAAATTGTATTTTTTTCAAATTTCAGCTTTAAATTTCCCATCAATCTGATGAGCTATATAAAAATTCATAAAAAGAAAAAAAAAGAGAAATGAATTTATAATTGTGACAAATTAAAAACAAATCAAATTTGTATCGAAATTTCAACAGACAAACGGCGAAAATCATGGAAAAAACGATTTTTTTTGAGATAAAAGTGATTTTCGACTATTTCCATTCATTTTTTTCCATCTGAAATCATTAATTTTATCCCACCTTGGACCTCCTCTGCTCGATTATCGGCTGATAATAAGCGGTTCTCCAGAAAAGGTCGATTTTTGGCAACAAATCGCCCTCCGACCTTTCCAGTTCCACCAACATTTTTCGGAGTCTGCAAAAAGTTTTTTTCGAATTTTAAAGTTTGAAAAAGAACAATTTTGATACATACCATACAGTAGTTACTGATGTAAATTTAAACTTTATTCTCTAGCTATTTGTCAAAAAAATTCAGTTAATTATTGAAGAAAATTATTTTTTTAGAGAAAAGTTAATAAAATCCCGGAGATTCGATGATTTTTTTCAACAGAAAAAAATTCAAAAAAAGTTGCTTTTTCACCATTTTTTTCGTTTTATAAAAAGCTTTACCAAGATAAATTTTTGCAATTTTGATTTTTTTCGCATGAGAAAAATTTGATAAAATACGAATTCTAACATGATTGGTAAGCTATATTTTTTTAAATTCCTATTACTTTACTATGAAAATTGAGTTTAAAATTTAAAATTCTCTAGAAGAAAATATTCAAAAAAAAGCGCTTAATTCAGCTTGTATTCGTTTGTCCGTCTTATAAAAGCTTTACCAAGAAAAAAACGCCGAATTTCGCATTTCCTCAATAAAAACTAACCTAATATCAACTTTAAAATTCTCATTAAACTTTAAACTTTAAGAGAATTTTTTAAAAAGTTTGAAAAAAAATCTTCAGTTTAAGGCTGAAAAATTCCAAAATTTCTGTTTTTTTCTCGAAAAATCCGTGTCAAATGTAACACACGAAGCTTCATTTCAAATATTAACAGTGAAATTTTACATTTTTCAAAAAGAAAAGGTTCAAAAAAGCTCAATTTATCTTGGATTCGCTTTTTTTCGCCGTACAAAAAAACTTTTCCGAAATAAAAAAAGCTAGATTCTCTTTTTTTATCGGAAAAATAAAAACCAATTTTCAACTCAACACTCGCAAAAAAATTAAAAAAATCAATTTGAATAAATAAAAAAATAAAAAAACTTATTCTCAAGCTGAAATTTCGCAAATTTGACTATTTTTTTGCTGCGAAAAAAACCGGTTGAGACAATTTTTTTAAAGCTGTTCTTTCAATATTAAAAATTATTCTACGTTGAAAAAAATGAGTTTCGAATTAAATATTTTTTTCGAAATACGTCCCAAAAAAACTTTATCAAGATTTAAAAAAAGCCTGAATTTTAATTTTTTTCTTATCGAAAAACTTAACTAATATTCTTCAAATTTTCGCAAAAAAATCACATTTTCACATCAAATCGAAAAAAATAAGCCTTAAATTTAACATTTTTTTCAACAAGAATATTAAGACAAACTTTTTGCGGATCGCCGTCGATTTGGGCGAATTCACGCCCTCCAGTTCATATTCTTTATTTAAAGCCGCGCAGTAACGGTCCACTTTTTTTCCATATTTACAGTCTGAATCATTTTTTTCTGTAAAAACAAATGAAAAAAACAAAAAAATTATCATACTTGTAAACTTGACCAGTTACATAAAAATATTAGAAAAACGATGTAATTCTTTATTATTATTATAGAAACTCGGAATGTTTTAAGAAAAAATGAGAAACTCGCATTAATTTATATTCGGCTCCTACTTGAATATAATCAAAGGCAGAAAAAATCAAGGGATATAACAATATTTGAACAAAAAAGGCATGAAAACTAGAAAATAACGAAAATTTAGGGAAAAGGATCAGAAAAGACGGTTTTCCGGCAGATTTCGCAACGAAAATCGGCGGATATTGTAAACAATCGCTCAGATTAGCGGCCCATGGCTGGACATTGCTATAAACAACTCTTTTTTCCTCTGTTCTTGAAGATTTCGGAGGAACAAAAGTTATAGGAACGGAACAACTACCAAGGTTCACTAGAAATTCAACAAAAAAGGCGAATTTTTAGTATTTTCTGTTGAAAAAAAAAAATAATTTTAGGCTTCAAAGCAGCTTTTTTTCTGTTCCAAAACAGCCAGTCTAACCGAAAATTCGAAGGAAGATCAATTTTAAGCATAATTCGAGCTTCAAGTTCAAAAAAATAGCCATTAAACAAGAAACCTTCAAGTTTTCATATTAAAAAAACAGCAGGAATAATTTTTGAAAAATCCAATCTTTATAAAAAAATTTGAAACCTGCTGAAATTGATATTTTCTCATATTTCATACCTTTTTATAACCAGTTAAATAAAATAAATCTGGGAATCTTCAGTCTACAGTTCAAAAACAATATTTCCGGAAACTAACTTTTTAAGTAACAGTGTCTAAAATCTTAGCCAGTGTTTAAAGGCGCATGGTTAAATTTGCAAGGGATCTCGAGACGAAGAGACTTCTGCGCCTTTAAACACCAAAAAACATAGTGATCAAGCTACATATGCGGAATTTAGAATACAAACGTTCAAAAAATGATAATCTAATAAGAAGGATGAAACAGAAAAGTAGTGGAAATTCAGCCGATGACTCGGATGGCGGCCTTGTACAAGACATACACAGCGATGCCGATCGCGGTGGGGATGAGGAAATTCGTCCAAGTAGGGGACAACAAAATATCGGCGATCGAATTTCCGGCCGCCGGTTTTATCACCGGTTTCGCTTCGGCTTTCGGCGCGGCTGGGGCTTCTCCGTTGGCCAGGACTCCTTGAAAATTATCATTTTGCTTTGGAAAAAAGTTCTTTAATAGCCCATTCCACGCCAACTTTTTTATTCCATCTGAACTAAAGAACCCTTGGCCTCGATGCTCCTTTAATTGGCTTGAAATTTACGTTATATTAAAGGCGCATGCCCACAGGTGACAACGCGCATCGAAGCGAAGGGTGTTGTAGCTTGAAGGAAAATGAAAAAAGGGGCTAGCTGGATATATTTGTAACCAAAAAGCAATAGAAACTAAGTCGTAAATGATTTTAAGAAAGAAAATATGCTGGTAAAACAGAAGAAAAAGGGAAAGAAGTTAAAAACTGTGTCAAATCTAGTGGCCTCTTAAGTGGCTCCTCAAGGACTACTTATTAGGACACTAAAGTGGCCACTAAATCCATCTCTATAGTGGCCATTATTTTTCGTTTTAGTGGCCACTTCAGTAGTTTTCCATCCAGTTTCCCTTCCAGTACCTCTGATAATAAAAAAAAACAGATTGGACCAGTTATGTTGAACCACTGACCCCTAAAGCGGTCACTAAAATTTTCAGTGGCCTGGTAGTAGCACTTAGACCTCTAAAGTGGCCACTAATTTTTAATCCCTCAAGTGGCCACTAATTTGACTACTATAGCGGCCACTGAAACGTCAAAACCCTATAGTGACCACTAAAAACTTTCACAGAAAAGCGGAAGAACTCCAACTAACTGCGAAAAACTCTAGTGGCCTCTTAAGTGGTCCCTCAAGGGCTACTTAGAGAGGACACCACTGCAGAAGCCCCTACTACGCGTCTAGTGGTCACTATAGTATTTGAAGCGCTCAATCAGTACTACTTAGACTTCTGAAGCAGCCGCTGAATTTTAAACACTAAAGTGGCCACTAAATCGACTACTATGATAGCCACTAAAATTTTCCCAGAAAGATCAAAATTTCCAGGTGGTTCTATCCTTGTTGGAAGGCTTTAAAAAACCGATTCTTGAATGCCGTAAAAGTGAGAAAAGTGTTGGGGTGATCAAAAATCGGTTCTACAGGATTTTGTACCCTGAATCGAATGGCACTCGCAGATTTTTGATATATTTTCAAGATTCGTCGAAAAATTTCGAAGGGGTCTGTCCTTATGTGACGTAGCGAGTTTTCTTTATTTTAAAAAAAGTCATTTTTTACTCGTAAAGTAATATAACTTAAATTATGCTTTCTGCACAATCGCGCACTTTAGAAATTAGAAAATTCTCATAAAAAAAAGTTGCTCGGAAATTGTTAACAGGCCCCGAACCTTTCTGAGCATTTTAAGGGACCACTTAAGCGCCGTAAGTTCTCTTAAGGGATCCTTAGGATTGTTCAAAACGTCCTGTTTCCGCTATAGACGATTCACGGCTAGCTTGAGACGCAAAAAAGCGTGGCCTGTCTGCACTCTCCACCAACCAGGGCACTGTCTCGTTCGTTTTCGTGGCAGGACCCTTTTCTCGATGGCTCAAGCCAGCCGTGAATCAACTATACATAAATTTGATTGTGTCAGGAACAAAAAAATTGCTCGATTAGAACCATTTTTTGAACCACGAAAATAGGTTTATTTTCAGCTTTTGGCAGAATATAACGCACCTTGAAGGAAGGTAATTTTTGTGTGAAACTTATAATTGACTGTTCAGTTTAAAATAAAAAAGGTAGGAGAGTTAAAAAATATTCCCCATAGTCACTACTTGTAGTCTTTTTTTAAAACTGAGAAGATGATTTTTTTAATTTCACACTTTTTTTACAGAGGGCCTGGAGCTTATGAATTTCACGGTAAAATTACTAAAAAAACATCAGAAAAAAATATTGAAAAAAACCACCTTGAAAAGTTTCGATTCAAGGATAGGAAAAAAAAACTAACCAATAAGATAATCTTTGGCCATTTCCTTGGCATCCCTAGAATGGCCGACGTCATTAAAAGCAATGGTGGCGTCCTAAAAATCCCGATTTCACGACAATTTCGTTTCAAAATATGAATTTCGAACCTTTCCAGCCATTTCTGTAATGACTTCCTCACCGCCAGGATGTTCCATGAGGAAATTCGTGACATCGTAGACCTTGAAATAAATATTGTTACTGAAAAGTTAAAAAAAAAAATTAAACCTTTCCTTCCATTACGATCCAACAAGTTTTGGGATCATTTTGGAAGTTGTGCTGCTCAACTTCAGCCAGGCTAATCGTTCGGAGAGAGCCTTCAGCCACCATTTTGTCTTAAATAAAACAAATGACTCGGTGAAACATCAAAAGAAACGAAGAAAAAGAAGTTTTTTGGAAGAAACCTTCGAAAAAAAGTCTTCTGTTCGACAGAATTAGCAGTTTCTTATCAGTTTCGCGTCATTGATAAGAAAAAAGAAAAGAGAAAGATGGAGAAAATTCTGTGAATTCGCAGTATTTTGACATGGACTTTAATTGAACATAATTGAAGCAAAAGTTCTGAGAAACTAATTATAATTTGCGAGTTTCGTTTACGAGAAAAGGTCAGAGAACAACCTAGGCGAAAACCTTTAAAAAAAATTAGTATGAGAAAATATTAGATAACACATGTGAGCGTGAGAAACTATCTAAAAATAATATCAGTACTCTTCGCGTTTATCTCGAATTCATGTGAAGATGAAGGAACAGCTCGAAAACGATGAAAAAAAAAAGACAAAAAGCTTTAAAAAAAATAAAAAACCAAAATTTTCAAAAATAAAAGTTTACTGTAACCCGCGCTTGCGGACCTGTGTATGCACAACTTTGCATTACAGATATTTAAAAAATTTCATTTTTATCGTTCAATAAAAGTTCATAATGGATAATATATCTTCATTCGGCGCTTGTAATTATTTCCTGGGAAAGCTGTTGGTTGAAGGAACGTCTATAGTTGCTGAAGTACTGCGGCTTGCCGATTTCATCCCACCAGAGTTCAAGGTTTTTGAAACTTTCAAATTTAATTTTTAAATTTCTTATTCAGGATCCTACTAAATCGAAGTTCAAGCCTTTTATTCTTGATTTCACTTATTTTTCGAAGGCTCAGCAGCTAGAAATTCAGCTTTCCAATGAAGAGGTTGAAATATTTTTTTTGGATTTGTGTCTAATTTTGAGGCTTTTCAGACACTTCAAGATTTGTTTTACGCCACTCACGGACCGCTTCTCAACCGTTTCGAGTTATTTTTCCAAGCCGTAGCAAATTATTTAATTAGTTTCAATGAGTTCAGAGATTTTATGAAAGCAATCATTTATTTTTTGGGCTTTAGGTATTGCGAAAAAGTGTCAAATGACAAGAATTCGGTGGGTTTTGATCAAGAAACCGAGTTGGAAGTTCAATGTCTGTACACTTGTGGCTTGATTGTGCTGTATATCGAGAAATATCTGCCCGGAACTTTGAGGGAACGACTTTATATCGCTATTTTTCGAAACAGGTTGGATTGAAGGTTGAGAATTGTGTGAGGGTTGATATTTTTAGTGACGATCGGAGTAATGTCGAATTTTTGGTGGATTTTCTGCGGGTTGCTGTTGAGAACAATGATACCTTGTTCAGGTGGGAGATGAACTTCAACAAAAAAAATGAAAAGGAAATTTTGACATTCTTACCGCACTTTACTGTTACAGACGTCGTTAAATAGCTCTTCTTCGATTTTTTTTTTTCTAATTTGCGCTGTACAAACACCGGCAAAAAGGAAAATCAATACTGGAATTTTTCCCAAAATTTATATTCCAACCTCATTTCTCGTTAATTTATATAAAATAATAAAAATCGCTTTGAATAAAAATTAGGAGCTCAATTCGGTTCAAAAAAATCAATTGCAATCAGTTTTAAACGCAATTTTTTTAAAAAAATCAACATCAAGAATGTAGAAAAAAAGGAATGAAAAATAATTAATTTGAAATTGAAAAAAAGTTCAAATTTGAGCTTTTTTTGAAACGAAAAAAATTTTTTTGAAAAATGAGACATTTTTTTCTTAAATTTTGTTGAATTATATTTTTTTATTTCAGGAGAGCTCTGAAACACGAAAAATTTTGTACAAAGATGTATAAATGTCCTGGAAGTCGACCATCGGGATGTTAGTTTTTTTTTTCTCAAGTTTCACAATTTTTTCCAAATGTTCGCATTTCAAAAGCGTACGTTATTTTGGAAATAATTCTTCGTTTTCTTGGTATTTTTTTCTATATTTAAAAATCGAATTTTTAAGGATTTCGGCTTGATTTATTGTGAAATGAATAAACTGATGATGATGATGATCGTACGATTATTTTCAAATTTCAATGATTCGATTTTTTTGAAAAATTTTCAGAAACTGTATTCTCAATTTTCCGAAATTCTATAAGATATTGTTCATAAATCGAGTTGCCAATCATATTTTTTTTCATAAAAATGCCTTGATTTCATTTTTGAATCGAAGGTTTTGAACAGAAATTTAGTGAAAAAAATCCCCCAAATTCCTCTTTTTCTACGGGAAAAATTATCAATTTTCGATTTATTTTTTTGAAATTTCACATGATGCGGTGGTCACGTGGTGTAAGGTGATGAATTTCAACCTGAAAATTATGAAATTTTTAAAGGTTTATCTTTCAAAATAACGTTCCAAAATGATTTTGCGACATGTCACGAAAAAGGGATATTTTTCATATAATCCGTGGTTCTTTCAAAAAAAATTTTCAGCCTAAATCAAGAGTTTTGAAGGAAAATTAGTGAAAAAACCTCCAAAATCTCCGTTTTTTAGGTCTCAGCATGGTTCAGAGGTCACGTAGTGTAATTTGATAAATAGGAACCCAGAAAAACTTCAAAATTTCAAGATTTCCGTCACAAAATGCTTTTTCAAGTCAATTCAAGCCATGAAGAACCGAACATTTTTCCAGATAATCCGTGATTTCTTCAAAAATTAATTTTGTTCCTCTCAAAATCTTCAATTTCAGCGTCCTCCAATCAAAAGTTTTTCAGGAAAATTATTGAAAAAACCTCCAAAATCTCCGTTTTTTTAAATCTCAACATGGTTCGGAGGTCGCGTAGTGTAATTTGATGAACCGGAGCCCAGAAAAACTTCAAAATTTCAAGATTTCCGTCACAAAATGCTTTTTCAAGTCAATTCAAGCCATGAAGAACCGAACATTTTTCCAGATAATCCGTGATTTCTTCAAAAATTAATTTTGTTCCTCTCAAAATCTTCAATTTCAGCGTCCTCCAATCAAAAGTTTTTCAGGAAAATTATTGAAAAAACCTCCAAAATCTCCGTTTTTTTAAATCTCAACATGGTTCGGAGGTCGCGTAGTGTAATTTGATGAACCGGAGCCCAGAAAAAAACTTCAAAAATTTCAAGATTTCCGTCACAAAAATGCTTTTTTTCAAGTCAATTCAAGCCATGAAGAACCGAACATTTTTTTCCAGATAATCCGTGATTTCTTCAAAAAAATTAATTTTGTTCCTCTCAAAAATCTTCAATTTCAGCGTCCTCCAATCAAAAAGTTTTTTTCAGGAAAAATTATTGAAAAAAACCTCCAAAAATCTCCGTTTTTTTTAAATCTCAACATGGTTCGGAGGTCGCGTAGTGTAATTTGATGAACCGGAGCCCAGAAAAAAACTTCAAAAATTTCAAGATTTCCGTCACAAAAATGCTTTTTTTCAAGTCAATTCAAGCCATGAAGAACCGAACATTTTTTTCCAGATAATCCGTGATTTCTTCAAAAAAATTAATTTTTGTTCCTCTCAAAAATCTTCAATTTCAGCGTCCTCCAATCAAAAAGTTTTTTTCAGGAAAAATTATTGAAAAAAACCTCCAAAAATCTCCGTTTTTTTAAATCTCAACATGGTTCGGAGGTCGCGTAGTGTAATTTGATGAACCGGAGCCCAGAAAAAAACTTCAAAATTTCAAGATTTCCGTCACAAAAATGCTTTTTCAAGTCAATTCAAGCCATGAAGAACCGAACATTTTTTTCCAGATAATCCGTGATTTCTTCAAAAAAATTAATTTTGTTCCTCTCAAAATCTTCAATTTCAGCGTCCTCCAATCAAAAAGTTTTTTTCAGGAAAAATTATTGAAAAAAACCTCCAAAAATCTCCGTTTTTTTAAATCTCAACATGGTTCGGAGGTCGCGTAGTGTAATTTGATGAACCGGAGCCCAGAAAAAAACTTCAAAAATTTCAAGATTTCCGTCACAAAAATGCTTTTTTTCAAGTCAATTCAAGCCATGAAGAACCGAAAATTTTTTTCCAGATAATCCGTGATTTCTTCAAAAAAATTAATTTTGTTCCTCTCAAAATCTTCAATTTCAGCGTCCTCCAATCAAAAAGTTTTTTTCAGGAAAAATTATTGAAAAAAACCTCCAAAAATCTCCGTTTTTTTAAATCTCAACATGGTTCGGAGGTCGCGTAGTGTAATTTGATGAACCGGAGCCCAGAAAAAAACTTCAAAATTTCAAGATTTCCGTCACAAAAATGCTTTTTTTCAAGTCAATTCAAGCCATGAAGAACCGAACATTTTTTTCCAGATAATCCGTGATTTCTTCAAAAAAATTAATTTTGTTCCTCTCAAAATCTTCAATTTCAGCGTCCTCCAATCAAAAAGTTTTTTTCAGGAAAAATTATTGAAAAAAACCTCCAAAAATCTCCGTTTTTTTAAATCTCAACATGGTTCGGAGGTCGCGTAGTGTAATTTGATGAACCGGAGCCCAGAAAAAAACTTCAAAAATTTCAAGATTTCCGTCACAAAAATGCTTTTTTTCAAGTCAATTCAAGCCATGAAGAACCGAACATTTTTTTCCAGATAATCCGTGATTTCTTCAAAAAAATTAATTTTGTTCCTCTCAAAATCTTCAATTTCAGCGTCCTCCAATCAAAAGTTTTTTTCAGGAAAATTATTGAAAAAAACCTCCAAAAATCTCCGTTTTTTTTAAATCTCAACATGGTTCGGAGGTCGCGTAGTGTAATTTGATGAACCGGAGCCCAGAAAAAAACTTCAAAATTTCAAGATTTCCGTCACAAAATGCTTTTTTTCAAGTCAATTCAAGCCATGAAGAACCGAACATTTTTTTCCAGATAATCCGTGATTTCTTCAAAAAAATTAATTTTTGTTCCTCTCAAAATCTTCAATTTCAGCGTCCTCCAATCAAAAAGTTTTTTTCAGGAAAAATTATTGAAAAAAACCTCCAAAAATCTCCGTTTTTTTAAATCTCAACATGGTTCGGAGGTCGCGTAGTGTAATTTGATGAACCGGAGCCCAGAAAAAAACTTCAAAAATTTCAAGATTTCCGTCACAAAAATGCTTTTTTTCAAGTCAATTCAAGCCATGAAGAACCGAACATTTTTTTCCAGATAATCCGTGATTTCTTCAAAAAAATTAATTTTGTTCCTCTCAAAAATCTTCAATTTCAGCGTCCTCCAATCAAAAAGTTTTTTTCAGGAAAAATTATTGAAAAAAACCTCCAAAAATCTCCGTTTTTTTAAATCTCAACATGGTTCGGAGGTCGCGTAGTGTAATTTGATGAACCGGAGCCCAGAAAAAAACTTCAAAAATTTCAAGATTTCCGTCACAAAAATGCTTTTTTTCAAGTCAATTCAAGCCATGAAGAACCGAACATTTTTTTCCAGATAATCCGTGATTTCTTCAAAAAAATTAATTTTGTTCCTCTCAAAATCTTCAATTTCAGCGTCCTCCAATCAAAAAGTTTTTTTCAGGAAAAATTATTGAAAAAAACCTCCAAAAATCTCCGTTTTTTTTAAATCTCAACATGGTTCGGAGGTCGCGTAGTGTAATTTGATGAACCGGAGCCCAGAAAAAAACTTCAAAAATTTCAAGATTTCCGTCACAAAATGCTTTTTTTCAAGTCAATTCAAGCCATGAAGAACCGAACATTTTTTTCCAGATAATCCGTGATTTCTTCAAAAAAATTAATTTTGTTCCTCTCAAAAATCTTCAATTTCAGCGTCCTCCAATCAAAAAGTTTTTTTCAGGAAAATTATTGAAAAAAACCTCCAAAATCTCCGTTTTTTTAAATCTCAACATGGTTCGGAGGTCGCGTAGTGTAATTTGATGAACCGGAGCCCAGAAAAAAACTTCAAAAATTTCAAGATTTCCGTCACAAAAATGCTTTTTTTCAAGTCAATTCAAGCCATGAAGAACCGAACATTTTTTTCCAGATAATCCGTGATTTCTTCAAAAAAATTAATTTTGTTCCTCTCAAAATCTTCAATTTCAGCGTCCTCCAATCAAAAAGTTTTTTTCAGGAAAAATTATTGAAAAAAACCTCCAAAAATCTCCGTTTTTTTAAATCTCAACATGGTTCGGAGGTCGCGTAGTGTAATTTGATGAACCGGAGCCCAGAAAAAAACTTCAAAAATTTCAAGATTTCCGTCACAAAAATGCTTTTTTTCAAGTCAATTCAAGCCATGAAGAACCGAACATTTTTTTCCAGATAATCCGTGATTTCTTCAAAAAAATTAATTTTTGTTCCTCTCAAAAATCTTCAATTTCAGCGTCCTCCAATCAAAAAGTTTTTTTCAGGAAAATTATTGAAAAAAACCTCCAAAAATCTCCGTTTTTTTAAATCTCAACATGGTTCGGAGGTCGCGTAGTGTAATTTGATGAACCGGAGCCCAGAAAAAAACTTCAAAAATTTCAAGATTTCCGTCACAAAAATGCTTTTTTTCAAGTCAATTCAAGCCATGAAGAACCGAAACATTTTTTTCCAGATAATCCGTGATTTCTTCAAAAAAATTAATTTTGTTCCTCTCAAAATCTTCAATTTCAGCGTCCTCCAATCAAAAGTTTTTTTCAGGAAAAATTATTGAAAAAAACCTCCAAAAATCTCCGTTTTTTTTAAATCTCAACATGGTTCGGAGGTCGCGTAGTGTAATTTGATGAACCGGAGCCCAGAAAAAAACTTCAAAAATTTCAAGATTTCCGTCACAAAAATGCTTTTTTTCAAGTCAATTCAAGCCATGAAGAACCGAACATTTTTTTCCAGATAATCCGTGATTTCTTCAAAAAAATTAATTTTTGTTCCTCTCAAAAATCTTCAATTTCAGCGTCCTCCAATCAAAAAGTTTTTTTCAGGAAAATTATTGAAAAAAACCTCCAAAAATCTCCGTTTTTTTTAAATCTCAACATGGTTCGGAGGTCGCGTAGTGTAATTTGATGAACCGGAGCCCAGAAAAAAACTTCAAAATTTCAAGATTTCCGTCACAAAAATGCTTTTTTTCAAGTCAATTCAAGCCATGAAGAACCGAACATTTTTTTCCAGATAATCCGTGATTTCTTCAAAAAAATTAATTTTTGTTCCTCTCAAAATCTTCAATTTCAGCGTCCTCCAATCAAAAAGTTTTTTTCAGGAAAATTATTGAAAAAAACCTCCAAAAATCTCCGTTTTTTTAAATCTCAACATGGTTCGGAGGTCGCGTAGTGTAATTTGATGAACCGGAGCCCAGAAAAAAACTTCAAAAATTTCAAGATTTCCGTCACAAAAATGCTTTTTTTCAAGTCAATTCAAGCCATGAAGAACCGAACATTTTTTTCCAGATAATCCGTGATTTCTTCAAAAAAATTAATTTTGTTCCTCTCAAAATCTTCAATTTCAGCGTCCTCCAATCAAAAAGTTTTTTTCAGGAAAATTATTGAAAAAAACCTCCAAAAATCTCCGTTTTTTTAAATCTCAACATGGTTCGGAGGTCGCGTAGTGTAATTTGATGAACCGGAGCCCAGAAAAAAACTTCAAAATTTCAAGATTTCCGTCACAAAATGCTTTTTTTCAAGTCAATTCAAGCCATGAAGAACCGAACATTTTTTTCCAGATAATCCGTGATTTCTTCAAAAAAATTAATTTTGTTCCTCTCAAAATCTTCAATTTCAGCGTCCTCCAATCAAAAAGTTTTTTTCAGGAAAAATTATTGAAAAAAACCTCCAAAAATCTCCGTTTTTTTAAATCTCAACATGGTTCGGAGGTCGCGTAGTGTAATTTGATGAACCGGAGCCCAGAAAAACTTCAAAATTTCAAGATTTCCGTCACAAAATGCTTTTTCAAGTCAATTCAAGCCATGAAGAACCGAACATTTTTCCAGATAATCCGTGATTTCTTCAAAAATTAATTTTGTTCCTCTCAAAATCTTCAATTTCAGCGTCCTCCAATCAAAAGTTTTTCAGGAAAATTATTGAAAAAACCTCCAAAATCTCCGTTTTTTAGGTCTCAGCATGGTTCAGAGGTCACGTAGTGTAATTTGATAAATAGGAACCCAGAAAAACTTCAAAATTTCAAGATTTCCGTCACAAAATGCTTTTTCAAGTCAATTCAAGCCATGAAGAACCGAAAATTTTTCCAGATAATCCGTGATTTCTTCAAAAAATTAATTTTGTTCCTCTCAAAAATCTTCAATTTCAGCGTCCTCCAATCAAAAAGTTTTTTTCAGGAAAAATTATTGAAAAAAACCTCCAAAATCTCCGTTTTTTTAAATCTCAACATGGTTCGGAGGTCGCGTAGTGTAATTTGATGAACCGGAGCCCAGAAAAAAACTTCAAAATTTCAAGATTTCCGTCACAAAAATGCTTTTTTTCAAGTCAATTCAAGCCATGAAGAACCGAAAAATTTTTTTCCAGATAATCCGTGATTTCTTCAAAAAAATTAATTTTTGTTCCTCTCAAAAATCTTCAATTTCAGCGTCCTCCAATCAAAAGTTTTTCAGGAAAATTATTGAAAAAACCTCCAAAATCTCCGTTTTTTTAAATCTCAACATGGTTCGGAGGTCGCGTAGTGTAATTTGATGAACCGGAGCCCAGAAAAACTTCAAAATTTCCAAAATTTCCGCTTCACAAGTCACGAAAAAACATTTTTCCAGATAATCCGCGGTTCCTCCAAAAAGTTCACTCAAATCAACTCTTTTCGCTCCGAAATGATGTTCGTTTGCCTGATGTTCGACGTGAAAACCCTTCACAGTAATCAGGCCAAAATGCGTCAGATTACCGATACTCTTTTTCGGGATCATTGGGTGGGTTTTCGACTAATTTCCAGAGTTAAAATTCCATAAAAAAAAACTTAAAAAACTAAAAAATTGATAGTAAAAACACGAAGAATTAGGCTTCTAAAGAGGGCCCTTGAAGGTTCCACTTAAGGGACCACTTACGCTTGCAAAAGTGGCCCCTATAGGGACTTTCTAGTTGTATAATGTTGTGAGGTGTATTAGAAAAAAAAATTAGCGCTTTCTGTGAATTTTTAGTCCCTCATAGAGGCTTTTTTCCCTAACCTCTATAGGGACCACTCTGGCGTCTTTTTAAACTCTATTTTTTTATCTTTTCAAGTTCACCGACTTTCCTGTTTCTGACAACCTATATCAATATAGTTACATCATGTTTTTTTCAATGAGAGTGTTCCGTTATGTTTTTAAAAATCTTACCCGTCTAAAAATCTAAAAATCGAAACTATACATGAATAGAAAAGAACTTTGGTGACAACAGAAAAAATTGAAAATTGAAAAAAGCGAAAATCCGAAAAATGGCGACACGTGTTGTCCATAGAGCAACTTTACTGCAAAGCGCCCTTTTCGCGTAACTTTCCTTTCTCCGACTTTGAATTATTTTTTTTCCAAAACTAGGAAGTTGTGTACGTTTCCAAGTTCACCGTTCGATTCGCAATGATAAACTCTACAAAATACTGCTTTGAACTGAAACAGTTTGCTGCCCCTATGCCTTTAAGAGTAAAAGTATGAAAATAAGGGTCATTTTCCAGGTCCTGGCCCTCGGCTACGGCCTAATCGTGAATCTATTCGATTCCTGGCAGCCGTTCAAAGCGGCAAACACGGCGTTGAACGCCATCATCGACATCAACAAGGCGTCGTCCATCGCCAGCGAGCATTACCGCGTCGTCGCCGAGATCTCTCTTCCTCAGGTACGCGGCGCAGTCGGTAAGAGGCGCGCTCGCCGAGCACAGGGTCGCTGGATCGGATCCTCACGGCTGATGATATTTACAAACAAAGCGAACTACATTGATCTTATTTGAACTGTTCTGTGTGAATAATTGAGATCTGAAGCCGTTTTTTTTTTAAATTTTTGAACAGGAATTATCGATTTTTTCCGTTTAGATAGCCTAATTATATTTAAAAATTATCATACTGAGGCGATATGAATCCTTGAGTGAAAAAAATTGAGATCTGAAGCCGTTTTTTTAAAATTTTGAACAGGGATTTATCGATTTTTTTCCTTCTAGATAGCCTAATTATATTTAAAATTATTATTTTAACGCGACTTGAATCCTTGCGTGAAGAATTGAGCTCTCTTTTGAACGGAAAATTATTCATTTTTTTAAAGTTTTGTATTGTAATGATCGAATCGCTTCAGGGCGACATGAATCCTTCCCAATTCTCGCAAAACGTCAAATTAATCACGGAATATAATCGATCGCTACGTTGGCTGGTTCTTCATTCATGTTGGTTTCACTATTATTTTTTTTTAGCTCATCAAAGTTTTAGGTCAGTCCATTAATTAACCTTTTAGCGAGAAAAATTGCCGAAAAAAAATTAAACCCTCTTTCGATGAAACAGTAAGTTGATATAGTCCCAAAATTTTTTTTCAACATATTTTTCATGAAATTTTTTTCAAAAATTTCAGGTTAGTCCTAAAAATTAAGTTTGTTATCTGAAAAAAATCGCCGATTTGTCATTTTCTTTGAATGTTCCTTCGATGAAACAGTTAGTTGATCTAGTCACAATTTTTCTACATATTTTTCATGAAACTTTTCAAAATTTTAGGTTAGTCCATTAATCCAGAAAAAAATCGCCGAAAAAAGTTTATTATTTTTTTCACGTTTCTTCTATGAAACAGTAAGTTGATCTAGTCAAACTTTTTTTCAACATGAATTTTTGTGTTATAAGGGTTAAAAAAATCAAAAAAATTAGCCTAAAAAATCAATTTTTCAAGACGATAAATGCTGTGGCCGACGCGGTTTCACAATGATGCAGGCGATGGACGCGGCGATCCGCTTCGAAAAAGCGGCTTTAGTGGCCGTTTTGAAGATTGCCAAGTTCGAAATGGAGTTTTTGAAGGTCCCAATCCAAAAATAATAATAATCTTTTAAAAAAATACTTTCAGACCTACAAAACCCACCTCCAAAATCGTGAAGAAGCCACGAAAAAGGCGATTTCCGGAACTTCTTTATTTCTTACTGAACTCGCCGACATCTTCGCCCAGGGCTTTGCCTCCCTCAAAGTCGAGAAAAAAGGTCCTGGATAGATTTTTATCGTTTTTGAATTTTTTCCAAGCTTTAGAGAGGTTAAACGAGTGGTTTTTGGTGTTGAAAAAGGCGGTCGAAGATTTGGATGTGGATAATCCGACGGCAAGCGTTGAGGTTGTACAGCAGATCAAGCAGAGGATCAATCAGGTGATTGGAAAATCAAGTTTTTTGGGGAAATTACGAGTTTTCAGTGTAATTTTGATAGAAAATGATGTAAAATTGGCATTTTTGAGGGGTTTTGAAAAATTTTAGACGAGAAATCTTTTTGAAAGAAAGGTTTTTTCTTTGAAAGAAGACAATTTTTCCACTCAAATTAGCGAAAAAATGATTATTTTTCGAAATTTTTGAGTAATACAATGGATTTTTTTGATTAAATTCAACCTTCTGAAGTTTTTGATCAAGTTTAGTCGAAGATAAGTCAAAGCGCGAAAGCCGTATTTGGTCGGGCGCATTTTGAAGGCTGAGCCATTCCAAATGTGACCAAAAATTGGCATAATCTCACGGAAAGTGTTGATTTTTATACAGCAGATCAAGCATAGGATCAACCAGGTGATTGGAAAAACAAGTTTTTTGAGGAAAGTTCAAGTTTTTGAGGTAGTTTTGATAGAAAATGATGTAATATTAGCATTTTTGGAGGTTTTTAAAATTTTAGACAAGAAAATTTTCTGAAAGAAGACAATTTTTCCACTTAAATTAGCGAAAAAATGATTATTTTTCGAAATTTTTGAGTAATACAATGGATTTTTTTGATTAAATTCAACCTTCTGAAGTTTTTGATCAAGTTTAGTCGAAGAAAAGTCAGAGCGCGAAAGCCGTATTTGGTCGGGCGCATTTTGAAGGCTGAGCCATTCCAAATGTGACCAAAAATTGGCATAATCTCACGGAAAGTGTTGATTTTATACAGCAGATCAAGCATAGGATCAACCAGGTGATTGGAAAAACAAGTTTTTTGAGGAAAGTTCAAGTTTTTGAGGTAGTTTTGATAGAAAATGATGTAATATTAGCATTTTTGGAGGTTTTTAAAATTTTAGACAAGAAAATTTTCTGAAAGAAGACAATTTTTCCACTTAAATTAGCGAAAAAATGATTATTTTTCGAAATTTTTGAGTAATACAATGGATTTTTTTGATTAAATTCAACCTTCTGAAGTTTTTGATCAAGTTTAGTCGAAGAAAAGTCAGAGCGCGAAAGCCGTATTTGGTCGGGCGCATTTTCGGAAGGCCGAGCCATTCCAAATGCGACCAAAAATGTTCATAATCTCACGGAAAGTGTTGATTTTATACAGCAGATCAAGCAGAGGATCAGTCAGGTGATCGAAAAATCAACTTTTTCTGGGGAAAATACGAGTTTTCGATGTATTTTTGGATAATTTTCGATAGAAAATGCTATTTTGAGGACTTTTCAAAGACTTTGGACGTGTAAACTTTCAAAATAAGGCTTTTTTAAATCATTAGTTATTGAAAAATCAATTTTCAAATTGATCGAAATATTAGATTTTGAAAAACTTGTATAGACTTTTTCGATAGAAATTAATGGAAAAAAATGGCATTTTTGAGGATTTTTTTCAAAAATGTTATACAAGGAATATTTCGAAAAAAGGTTATTTTTTTGTAAATCAGCGAATAAATAATTATTATCTCAAATTCTCCAGCGAAAAATACGATTTTTGGTGGTCAAATTTAAATTTTTTTGGGCAAGTTTAATCCGTGATAAGTTTTTCCTATACCAAAGCGCGGAAGTCGTTTCTTGGTCGGGCGCATTTTTGAAACGCCGAGTCATTCCAAATGCGACCGAAAGTTTTCAGTTGAAAATAATTGTTATTTATCCACTATTCAGTCACTTTTTGTCGTCCCCTGCGAAAGTCGTTTTAGGTCGGGTGCATTGTTGAGCGCCGTTAGGCGTTGAGCCATTCCAAATGCGACCAGAATGTTTACCTTGAATAATTAGATTATATTGAAGTTTATCACTACTTAATGTTTCAATTTTCATTTTTATTGAATAACTTTTTTTTTCAAAATTTGATGACCCAAAAATTTCTCCAACGGAAAGATGAGCATGTAAACTTTGTTAAAATGATAAAAATGTTCAAAATATATATTTTTAGGTCGGCGAAATGCTGGACCTGAACGGGAATTTCGCCGTTTCCCAATATTTGGAGAAAATAAAAGGCGAATTGGACGGCCTTTCCAGTATTTTACAACTTTCTGAAGACGTCGTGAGAAATGTTGAAGATTCCGCCGATTCCGATTATCTTTGGTCGATGATTGGTGGGTTTTCAAGGTCCAAAATGGTCCTGACAAAAAAAAAGCAGCGATTTTTCGGAAATTGGTCCATTATCAAGACAGAAATAATGAAGATACGAGAATTTTTTTTCGAGTAAAAGGATTTTCCTGGCCATTTTTAGGACGAAAATGATGAATTTTCTCTAATTTTTTGGAAAAATTGGACCACTTTTTCAAACTTTAAAAATTCATAAGAACTAATTAAGAACATGTGGAAAGGATTCCCCGGACCAATTTTAGAAAAAAAAGAGATTCCTTCAATTTTTCGGAAATCGTTCCATTATCTGGACAAAAACGATGGATTTTCCTTTAATTTTTCGAAAAGTTTACCATTTTTCAAATTCACTTTTTCTTCAAAAGTCATAAGAACTAATAAAAAACTTATAAACATTATTTTACAGAGCATTTTCAGGACAAAAAGGATGAAATTCTTCCAGTTTTTCGGAAATTGTTCCATTACAAGGATAAAAATAATGCATTTTTCTGTAATTTTTCGATAAATAAATGATTTTTCAGCTTAAAAAGTCTTGAGGATTATTTTTTCATCGGTCAGTTACCTTTGGAAAGCGTAGAGAATCAGAATTAACAGTTTTAAATTTTTTTAAAAAGTCATTAGAACTAATTTAAAGCTTCTGAAAATGATTTTTACAGATGAAACTCTTCGAATTTTTTTCGGGAATTGGTTCATTATCGGGAAAAAAATGAAGAATTTTTTTTCTTTAATTTTTTTCGAAAAAGTGTACCATTTTTTTCAACTTTAAAAGTCATAAGGTCCTATCAAAAAAACTAGAAAAAAAGATTTTCCCGGACTATTTTTTTAAGACAAAAAAATAAAGAGATCCTTTCAATTTTTTTGGAAATCGTCCCATTATCAGGATAAAAAAATCATGAATTTTCTCTAATTTTTTTCCATAAACGAATGATTTTTTTCTAGCTTAAAAAAAGTCATGAGGATTATTTTTTTCACTGGCCAGTTGCCTTTGAAAAGCGTAGAGAATCAGAATTAACAGTTTTTTTATTTTTTTCAAAAGCCGTTAGGACTTATTTTAAGCTTGTAAAAAAATGATTTTACAGGCTATTTTTTTGGGGCAAAAAAATAAAGAGATTTCTTCAGTTTTTCTAAAATTGGTCCATTACCAGGATAAAAAAACGATGGATTTTCCTCTAATTTTTTTGAAATTGCACTGTTTTTCAAACTTGAAAAGTCATAATAACTAATTAAAAAAATTTTTTTAAAAAAAGTGTTTTCAAACAACTTTTTCAGTACAAAAAAATAAAGAGATTTCTTCAATTTTTCGGAAATTGGTCCATTATCAGGATAAAAAAATGATGGATTTTCCTTTAATTTTTCGAAAAATGGACTAATTTTCAAACTTGAAAAAGTCATAAGAACTAATAAAAAAACTTGTAAAGATGATTTTACAGACCATTTTTTTGGGACAAAAAAATAAAGATATTCCTTCATTTTTTTCGGAAATTGTCCCATTATCAGAATAAAAAAATAATGGATTTTTCTTTAATTTTTCGAAAAATGGACTACTTTTCGAACTTGAAAAGTCATAAGATTTAATAAAAGCTTGTAAAAATTATTTTGCAAGTTTAAAAAGATTTGACCATTTTTTAAGGATTGAAACTAACAGTTTATAATCACAAAAAATCATAAGAAAAAATTAAAAGGAGGTTTTTTCCAGACGATTGGACCCCTAGAGTGCAGAAACGACTGCTATCCGCCTCGAATACCCAGCCAGTTCGGGCCTTTTTTCATAAATTGTCCTTGTCTTTGGCAGTTCTGGACCGACGACTCCCTCAAGGACCTCATTCTGAAGCCGTGAAGTCAGTTGAAAAAAATGGAACGATAATTTTTCATCTCTAAAATCAGCGATTCTTCGAACCCTTCAGACTGCGTCATAAGTATTGATACAACTCTTGAATTTTAGTAATGTGAAAAAAACACATTTTAGTGTTATCAATATGGGGCTCCACTCTAGGGATCACTTTACCTCCCCCTTAGGGGGCACTGAAGAAGTGGCCCCTCTAGGAATTTTTCCCAGAGAAAAATGCTATCTTTTTTGTCGTGAACTCCATGAGAAGCATTTCCATTTGAAAAAATCAATTTTTCCAAGGAAAGTATCACCAGAGGATTAGTCGATCAAATTTTATCAAACAAGACTTTTTTATTTTCAAACCTGAACGAAAAACTTGAGAGAACCCCTATAGGGACCCCTCAAGCTTTGGGGGCTTCCCTATCAGACATTCAACCCCTCTAGGGACCACTTGAATTTTACCCACAGGAGTTACAAAATGGCTCCTCTTGAGCAACGTTGTGGAGGACCTATGGACCAATTTACCAAGCCCTATAGGGGCCACTAAATCCAGCTTGTGGTCTCCAAAGGGTTTTTAGATAGTGACCCCTATAGGGGACATGCTGGTCTATAATTGTTATGAACTATAAGAGAAGAAGCATTCATAAATAAGCGTTTTTAAATGAAAATTGAAAGACCCCTATAGGGACCACTTGAGGTTTAGGGGCTGCGGGGTCAGACCCTGAATCCCTATAGGGACCACTTTTTCGGCCCCCATATAGACTGTTCCCCTAACCCCTATAGGGACCATTCCAGAATTCCTAAGCTAGTAGTCCCCATACGTCGCTTTGATGAGTCTCCTTAACTTTAAAATCAAAAAAAGGAAGTTTACAGGACCCTATAGGGACCACTTGAGCTTGAGAAGCTTAGGAGTCAGACCCTGAATCACTATAGAGACCACTTTTTTGACCCCTATAGGGGCTGTTTATTCCCCTAACCACTCTAGGGACCGCTCTGGTATTCCTTAGTCCTCTGTAAATATATGAAAAAATTCTGAAAGTCCATGTCTTTTCTAAAATTATCTGAAACTGTAAATTTGTCAGACGAATCTCCCGGGCCTTCTCATTCTACCTGGACCGACGTCTCCGGAACATCCTCCAATCCGTTCCACACCATCTTTTCTCGATTATGCACGAAATCGTCGAACCTTCTTTGAAGCACCAATGGGAACCTTTCTTGGACAAGTCTGAGGTGCAATATTCAAAAGAAACCCCCCTAGGAAAAAGGAATTTTTAGGCCAAAAAACTGGCGGATTTCGAAGAGAATTTCCGTCTGGCCGATGCGACTTACACCATTTCTAATATGAGTGTCGGCATCTCGAGAATGGCGCTGAAGAAAGTTGGGACGGTGGATGTGAATCCGAAGGTGAGGGGACTTGGTAAAGCTGCCAAAAAGAGTCCCTACAGATCTTTTTTATCCCTTTGACAAAAAAAAAGCCGGGAAAACAACAAAAAGATTTCAGGCGATTCAGAAAGGATCCTCTGTGAAAAAAAGCCTAATAGATTCCCCCTTAGTTTACTCGGGGAAAGTCAGAATGATGGATAATGACTGCTAAAAGGGAGAGGCTGCAAAAAGGCCGCAAAAAAACAGCAAAAAGGCAGCAAAAAGGTAGCAAAAAGGTAGCAAAAAGGCCGCAAAAAGGCTTCAAAAAGGCAGCAACAAGGTAGCAAAAAGGTCGCAGAAAGGCTGCAAAAAGGCTTCAAAAAGGCCCCAAAATGAGTCCCTTTATCGAGCCTTCCATTTTTTCTGCTATTTCAAAGGGTTCAAGGAATGGTGGAAAAAGGGAGAGGCAGCATAACAGCCGATGAAGTGGCGCAAAAAGGCAGCAAAAAAGGAACCTCTGTCACTGAAAAAAGGAACTTTTTTGGAGCCTTTTTCCACCCTTTCCGACTTTGCCTATGAAAAAGCTCAAGACTTTCCAAAGAACTTTCCTGTTTCACCAATAATATAAAAAAAACTGCAGACTCAAAAAATGATTTGAAGATGCTTTTCAGTCAAGAGATATTGAAAATTTCCCGGAAGTAGCTCTGAAGATAAAAAGCTCCAGGTTGAAAAGGTCCTAGAAGAATAAAAACATTAAAAATGACCCCTATAGTGAAAAGTCTTCAAATAGAGGTTACAAATAGCTTTGAAAAATGAGCCTCGAAAGAATAGCCGTGCATCAAAAAAAAAGCCCCAAAAAAGTTATAAAAATAGCCTCGAGGAAGTTTTTTCTGAAGGAAATGGTGAAGACAGCGCTGAGTAAAAGTGAAGTTTACCAAAAATTTAAATTCAGCTTTGAAAAATAAATTTTTTTGTCCATGGAGCGCGTTTCCGTTGGAAATTTTGGCGCTCTTGAGTAGTTTTTTTTTCTTTCTTCATTGGAATCTACTTGGACCTCGGCGGAGATTTTGAACATTTCTAGTGATAACTTAAGCGTTTTGACGCCACTGAAGTGGTCACTAGAACAATTTATCAATGGGGCGCGTTTTAGTTGGATATTTTGGCCTTCTCAAGATTTAATTATATCTCTTTTCATTCCAATCAAACGCGCTCCATCGATAAGTTCTATGAATCTTTTAAAATTGAAAATTCCAGGAACTCCTTGAGGAAGGAATCCGTAGAGAACTGGCCAATGAACTTCCCGATTTGCTGAAAATCGCCGAAAAAGACCCGTCGCTAAGTGGTTTGAACCCTTTGAAGTCCTCTAAAAAATCAGTGGATTTTCTAGAGATTATCACGAAAAGCGAGGAGAAGCTCAGATGCCTCCACACGGCCTTCATCTACACCTGCGAGCACATGGACGTGAATGGACACGAAATTTGGCGTGATGAACTGCGACAACTTTGCGTTGTAGTCGCTGAGGAACGTATTGAAAGGGTCAAGGTAATACAGAAGTGAATAATTGCCGCGGGAAGTGAAAAAAATTGAAAAAAATTGAGGAAAGTGCGCTCCAATGCTAAAATTAGAAAAATGATCAGGAAAGTGCGATCCAGTGCTAAAAATTGAAAATTAGTCAGGAAAGTGCGCTCCAATGCTAATAATTGAAAATTGGTCAGGAAAGTGCGCTCCAATGTTAAAGATTGGAAAATGATCAGGAAAGTGCGCTCGAATGCGAAAAAGTGCAATATGTTGAGGAAAAAAAAAATTGAAGAATTGAATTTTATTCTGGAAAAACTGCCTTCCGCAGTAAAGTTGCTCTATGGATAAAGTACATCGTTATTTTCATTTCTTCAATTTTTTTATGATCATGATTTGAGCTTTTTCTATTGCTTCTAAAATTTGGTCAGAAGGGCCTACTTTAGGGAAAATTCGACGAAAAAAAGTTTGAACTCCCGCCAATAATTGATTTTGCAGTGAAGTTGCTCCATGGATAAAAATATTATTTTTTTTTTCTCAATCGCTCTCATGAGTTTTTCTGTAAGGATAACAGCTTCTGATTTATACAGACATGTTAAATATTGGCTTTAAAAATTTTTTTGATAGGTATATTACGGCTCTCGATTTTTCTTAATGGTCCTTGATCCATTGGCGAAAAGTATTTGCTAAGAAAATCTTTAAAAAATGATAGTTTTTCTAGGAAATCCGACGAAAATCCACAATAGGACAAGCAACACTCGACTGTATCGTGGATCTAATGTACAAATCTACGAATCCGAGGTGAAAAATGTAAAAAACTGAGAAAAACCAACGTAAATCTACAGTACGAGCCGATATTTGGACAATGAAATGGTCTGGATCGATGCCAAATCCAAAAAAGAACTCCTATCTTCGCAGGAATTTATTGCCGTTGAGGTAAAATACAAGTTCGGGCTATAAAAGGCCGCGTTTGGAATGGCTGAGATGATAATTTGAGCTCGCCCGACCAGAAACGGCTTGCGCAAAATGATGGAAATTACCCGAAAATTGTCAAAATTCGGGAACATTTTGAATAGTTGCTTATAAAATTCTCAAAAATGCTAATTTTACTGTGAAAACTATAGTAGAAAAAGTGGAAAAAAAAATCGAAAAACGCCAAAAAATTGATTTCAACCGCTCCGCGGCCGCGTCGCGTTCATCCAGTCCAAATGCGGTCATTTTCGGAAACCCCTGGGCTTTTTTGAAGCAAAAAATATGGGAAAACTTGAAATTTTTAGAAAATGATCCCTTGCCACGCTTTGACGGCCTTTGACCGAGTTCTAGCCCACGATCTTCAGCAAACTCTTCATGGTGGGTTTGAAAAGGAACTATACGTTTCAGGAGAAGTTTAAAAGGAATTAGTGACTTTCTTCCAGTTGATTTGATTGCTTTCCAGTTGTGAAAATTGTGTATTGAGCTCTTTTTTTGAGAATAAAGGGGCGGAGCTTCTCGGCGACCCTCTCAATTTGAAGTGCTCTTTTTATTTTTGTCTGACCTTGCCGGTGAGGGAACAGAGAGACGCAGACAAATTCCAGAGTGGTCCCTATAGGGGTTTATGGTCTGACCCCTTGGCCCTCAAAGCTCAAGTGGACCCTATAGGGGTTAGGGGCCGAAAAAGTAGTCACTATAAAGGTTAGGGTCGAAAAATGGTCCCTATAGGGTAAAACTGAAGTACTCCCACCGAAGTTTAGGGTCTGACCCTTGAGCCCCTAAAGCTCAAGTGGTCCCTATAGGAGTCTCTCAATTTCATTCAAAAAGCGCTTTTTTATTCATTTTTTCCTATGCTTCTTCGCTTAGAGTTCATAAAAATTATCGACTTGCATGTCCCCTATAGGGACCACTCTGGAGCTCCCAAGGACTATAAAAATCCTCTTTTTCGAAGATTTTTAGAACTTTTGAAGGGTCGACAAGCTAAAATCACAATGAAAATTGACTTTTTTTTGAATATTTCCTTTCAGAAAACCTCCGCCAATGGCGCACCGTCCTTTCTAACGTCACGGGCCTCCCGAATTCGGAAATCGGCCCGGATTCGGACTATTTCAAGACGAATCACTTTGAACAACTGAACAAAGTGATTTATGCGAATTCCGCGACTCTTGCTGGGCAAATCGCCAAGGTTTGAGGCTTTTTATAAAGAGAAAATAGAAAATATAAGAATTTTATCAGTTAGAAAGAGTCTAAAGGATTCAGTGTACAAATAAGTGCCGAGATAAGAGCGATATCGCTCGCGACATCGCAAAAGTCCTGCGTTGTAGCCGCGCATGTAGCTTGCATGTTTCTTTTTCAGCGCTCTTTTGAAATTTTGCGAGAGAAATACAAGGTCGCGTCAATGAAAATGCGAGAGCGGCGATAAAGCGATCCATTCGCGATATCGCCATCGACATCGCTTTTATCTCGCGACGCACTTGGAAGATCTTCTCAGTGTTTATAATAACGCGTTTTTTGGAATATTAAAAAATAAAAAGACCTTTTTTCCACTTACCTATGTTTTCTAGAACAGTCATAAAGCATTCAAAAAAATTTCGTTCCATTGAATTTTTAGCCTTGATTTAGATCACTAGATTTTTCATTTTCAGACTTTTTTTTTCCAAAAATGAAAGTTCAGATTGGCCAAATCATCCTGCTACGCAAGCATATCAATGATACGAAAAGAGACGGCGGCAGAAGACGGGCGGCCCCGATTTTCGAGTCTCTGCAGGCTTGTAACAGGTTGGGAATTGCCTATGATTGAAAAAAAAAAATCGAAACCTTTTTTGTGAAGATTTTTGTTCAAATTATGGTTTTTTCAGTGTCAAAAATATTTTTTCCAAGGCATGAGTTAATATTTCGGCCATTTATTTGGTGGAAACCATGCTCTATTGCAAATATCACTTCAAAGTTTTTTTTTTGGCCGGAAGATCCCATACAAATTCGCTCTACAGATAATTATTAAAATTCGCTCATTTCTGTCGATTTTTCCGCGGAAAACGCGCCCTATTGACAATTTTACTGTCAGTTTCCTAATAATGGGGGGTATTAAGTCGGTTTTTGTTAGATTGGCCATTTATTCGATGGAAATCGTGCTCTATCGCTAATATTATAACAAATCATATTTTTTTAGGCCTTTAGGATAAATATTCAAAAATTCATCTGTTTTTGTTTCCCCCTTGAAATGCGTTCTATTGACAACTTTACTCTCATTTTTGAATTTCCCAGGGTCTTAAATTAATTTTGTTGGATTGGCCATTTTTTCGAAGGAAATCATGCCCCACCGCTAATTCCTCTTTTTCAGCGCCCTACTCGCCAAAACTTCCGATCTGCCCAGTTCAATCGAAGCCGTGTGCAACCTGCTGACGGCCTGCTCGCTTTTCAACCCCCAAAGGGTCCACTTTGTCATCCCTCACTCCCTGGCAGCCGTCCAAATCTCTACCCCGATGTTTTTGCTCCATGCGACGGTTGCGTCGAAGTTGGGAGGTCAGAAACCGGAAAATGATGTATGAAAAAAATATTGCATTTTTGACGGTTTTTATCGTGACCGGGTAAATTCCTAGACCTCTAGCTCATTATTGTCCCAGAAAACTTAGGATGAACATTGAAGACGGCAGAAAATCCGCTTTTTTGACGGTTTTAGAACGTAAATCACAAGATTATCAACAGAGCAAACTTTCATCATATTTCCAGAATTTTTTTGGCGATTTTTGCTAACTTCCAAATTTCAGGAAGCCGAAAAGACTCCCTCTGCAGCACCTCCTTCATTCTTGGCGTCGAATTCGCCCTACGGCAAATGAAATCCGTCCAGGGATTCGTTTCTACCGCCAACGCCTATTATGGACATCAAATGTCTCTACCGAAAAAGTACAGATTGGCCCAAGATCCCCGTGACATTGCTAACGATGTCGTCAGTGTTGCTTAGGTTAGAGCTACGTCATTAAGAATGGCTCAATATGTATAGAAGCCGCGACGTGACCGCAACGCGCTGAGCCATTCCAAATGCGACCAGAGTCTAGATTTTCTGCACTGATTTTTCTCAAAGTGTTGACTGTATATATGAACCCTTTTTCGATATGTTAATGTACCTTTAAATTTAATTCATAAGGGTCCCGACACGAATTCAGATGTGATGTGCCTTCAAAACGTGTTTTCTCAGATTGATTACTGCAGAATTTGTTGTATAAATGAATATTTCAAGCTTTTCCTATTCTTCTTTCTGATAAAAAAGGGCAAAAAAGGCAAAAACGAGGGATCAATTGAGTCTGAAGAGACGCCAGACAGACAGAAACACTCTGATTTCTCTGGCGTCTCTTCTGGCTTCGCTGATCTCTCACTTTTCCTCTCATCTCTTCAAAAAAACAAACTGAATTTTTCTTTTTAAAGTTTCCCAAAAAGTATATTTTTTTATACACCTCCCCTCTCCATTTTTTTGAATTTTTCTAATATCTGGCTTATATTCAATTTTACGCATCAAACTTGTAAAAAAACGAATATTTCAAGCTTTTCCGATCATCCTTCCTGATACCACCAAAAATAAAAAAATAAAAAAATGTTTTTCACTAACTTTTTGTGTTAAAAAGGCAAGGACGAGGGATCCATTAAGCGTGAAGAGACGCTAGACAGTTAGAGAGACTCTGATTTCTCTGGCGTCTCTTTTGACGTCGCTGATCTCTCGTTTTTTTCCACTCATCTATTCAAAAAACCATCTTCATTTTCTTTCTTCTAGTACTTTCAAACCCCCACTTCCCCCATTTTTTTGTTCATTATCAAAAAAATCGAACTTATCTTCAATTTCACACAAAAAAATGCATAAAAAAATCACGATTTACACTCTTTTTCAGCTCCTACACAAATTCAAACGATATTAAAACATAAAAAAAAACAAAAACAAAATGGAAACTAGACACGACTACATAGATTATTTGCGAGGAAAAACCGTAGAGGAGGAAAAAAACCGGGGTCCGGAAAACAGGAATGAATATGGCAAGTAGAGGTAAAGAAGTACTTTATAAGAAATATATAATCCTGAGTTTGAATTTACAAATTATGAAATGATATAGTGGAGAAGAGGTACCGTAATACTAAAATTATTATTATTATTATTAAAATAGGTATTTTTTTTCAAAAGTAGAAAAAAATAAAATATTGAAAAAAATAAACTTTCCCAATGAAGAACTTCTACGTTTTTTTAAAAAAATCTACCGATTGAAAAATTTCAAAACAGCAAAAACTTATTAAAATAATAATTAAAAACAACCGAATCATTGCATAAATTTCTCGTCGCTACGAATCTTCCTCATCGTCGTCTTCTTTTTCCTCAAAAGTCACCGGGTCGAGTTCCTCTTCCGGAAAATCCACGATGACGTCATCTTCGATATCTTCCATTTTCGGCAAATCACCGACGTCGTCTTCGTTACTGGTTCCCTGAAAAATGATCAAATAAAAAGAGAATTTTTGGCAGAAAATGAGGAGTAGTCGTGAAATATGCTGTTTAGTGCATACACCGCGACGCGCAAATGCATGTTTCGAAAGTCAAAAAAATTTCCCGCCTGGTTTTTTTTTTCATTTTTTTTTCTTTTATGTTCAATTTTCGAGCTTAGTTTTTGATTTTTATATTGTTCTAGTCACTGCTGGCTGAAAACTGCATACAATTTCGAAATAAATAACAAAAAATTTCCCATTCACAAAATTTTCACAATTTTTGAAACAAAATTCGAAAACTTCAGTTAAAAACCAATAGTAAGCCGGTAATGCAGATATTTTAAACTTGACTCGAATTTTATCGAAAAACAAACGTCAGTCGCCGTCGAATCAATCCGATCATTATTTTTCGTGCCTCCAGTCGTGGCCAATCTCGTCCTTGATTTCTCTTTTCGGTTATTCAGCGTGTCGCCATCGCTCAAGCACCTTAAAAAGGCCATAATAAGTCAAAAATCTCCTTTTGTATTGTCTTACCTTCTAACATCGCGATGTCGCTGATAAACGGATAATCCAGCTTTTGCCTGATGTCTAGTGCTCATATGACGCGTTAGAACATCGCGTCGCCGCTGAAATTGGAGAAATTCAAGTCCAAAAGCGATCTCAAAGTGGAGTTTGGAGATTTTGAATTTTTTTTTCACCTTTAAAATCAAGACTATTGCCTTCTAGTCAAGTTATAATGTCTTAACGTATCATTTTAGTGGGGAAAAATTGTTTTTTACTATTTTAAGATTTTATAGCCCATTCCTTGCACGCTTGTCACGATTTTCACTTTCCTCTGAGCTTCAGAGACATCTGGGGACCTTCGCTTGTAAGCATTCGGTCTTCTCCTGGGCGTGCGCCTTTAATATTATAGGTAAAACTTAAAGGCGCATGCGGGAGTTTTAAAGCGAAGCCTCATGGTAGGGTTCTGTAGCTTGGAGGACAATAAGAATCGTGACAAGCTGGCTCGAAATACGCTGTACAACTCCATTAAAAATTGAAGGACGTAAAATTTCCTTGAATCGAGGTAGTTTGAAGAACAAGGTCCATGGACTTTTGAAGCCATTTTTCAAGTATTCACCGCCGAATAAGAACAAATAGAACAGTGATAAGGCTTCTCGTCGGTATGGGTCCTTCGATGGGTTCGAAGATGATCAGAACGGGAGAAAAATCGTCCACAGGACTCACAGCCGAACGGTTTTTCGCCAGTGTGACGTCGGACGTGTCTAAATTTGTATCTTGTTGAAATAATACACTAGTTTTCTGCTTAGGTACTCACAGGAAAGCTAAAAAGTTCCCTAGCGAGAATTTCTTTGTTTCCTGTTTTGGACCTTTTTGAGTCGATTTTTCAGTGTCTTTGAGCATGTCAGTTTTCTTTGCTATATTATTCAGAGCTCAAAAGGACAGCAACCCTGTAAATAACACTGAGAACGGCTCTTCGCCCAGAGACCTCTAATAAATTGGTCCATGCTCCTTTAAACAATCCAGGAAAGATTTTCAAAGAGACTCTGTTTCAATTCAAGTAATTTTAGGTTCAGAGAGTTTATTATTATTTAAAAAAATCAGGAATCTTTCTAACTAGATCCATTTTCTACCTATTGATTTTTCTGAAATGCTCCTCTTCCCCCCGAAAAGTGCCAGCCGATGCATGGCTCAGTATGAAATACATTGATCAAAACTCGCCCACCTGGACAAGATATCCGGCCTCTTGAAGTCCTTCTTGCAAATGTGGCACAAAAACTGCTTGTTAGGGTCCTCCTCTGTCGGCGGCTCCGTCGACGTCGCCGACCTCGGCGACGGATCCGCTTCGATCGAAGCTGGCGACAGCAAAACTGAGGCTGAGGTCGACGCCGTCGTGTTGTGGAAGGAGCTGGAGGAGATGGGGGAGGAGTAGGAAGCAGATAAGAGTTGATGTTGAGGTCGAATCGTGGAATTTGGGGGGTACAACTGGTTGAAGAGCATCTGGAAAAAAATTGATTGAATATTCATCGATTTCTGATACGTCTGCGCTCTCTTTTCTTTCAATGATGACGTCATAGAGTCTTGAAAATAGCATGGAGGTAAGAGAGTGCGCAGAGAAATCTGACTGTTTTAAGTTATTCTTGTGTGAAGTGCTCTGTTTTGGAATAGTCCATTCACCACGAATTCTAACTTCTCTAGGCTCTCTTTTCCCTCACCGATGACGTCATAGAGCCGTGAAAATAGCATGTAAAGAAAAGAGCGCAGAGAAATCAGACAATTTGAACTTTTGGCGAGTGGGATATATTTCCCTCCGCTTTTTGAATAGTCCCTTCTCCATAATCTGAAACAATCTAACCTGTCTGCGCTCTCTTTTCCCTCACCAGTGACGTCATAGAATCATGAAAATAGCATGTAGGGAAGAGAGGGCGCAGAGAAATCTGACTATTTTAAGTTATTCTTGTGGGAAGTGCTCTGTTTTAAAATAGTCCATTCATCTTTTTTCATCACGAATTCTAACTTCTCTAGGCTCTCTTTTCTCTCATCGATGACGTCATAGAGTCATGAAAATATCATGTAAGTAAGAGAGGGCACAGAGAAATCAGACTGCAACTAGTGATTGGGTTTTTTTTAACTATTCCATGCTTCTAACACGTCTGCGCTCTCTTTTCCCTCACCGCTGACGTCAGAGTCACGAAAATATCATGTAAGCACGAGAGAGCGCAGAGAAAATAGGTAAGTCCATTCACCTGTGACTGAAGTAGAGAATCATAATTATCCGCGACACTGACCGTCAGTTGAGTTTCTACAGGTTTCGGTAGGTCGGTCTGAAAAATGGCTTTGATATGGCCGCACGGGGAATGGCTAGGAAATGTCCGACCAGAAACGGTTTGTGCAATCGCAGCGCTCTTACCCATTCCAAGTGCGACCATAGAAAATATGAAAACTTCCGAAAACCTGAGCAAAAAAGGAGGTTCCTGGAGCCGAATAAGTCGGCTTTAACTTCGCCCCAGCGACAATCGTCGTCGTGGCGGCATTTTGAATAACCGACTGTTTTCTTTCGAGTTTTGGATGCTCTCGGGGGGCGCCTCGTCGAACCGATTGGAGCACCTTTAATTCAAAAATTTTTTCTTGGAATCTCCTGAAAATTTGGTAGATATTTGATGTACCAGACGTCTCAACTATTTCATTCTCGAAGAAAAAAGCTCATGGTCTTAAAATTTCCTATTTCACTACTTTTTTCGATATTTCCTTGCGTCTTTTCTGGGATAATATCAAGTTATCTAAACTGAGATTCTTAGAAATCTTCCCTATATTTTGGAAAAAAAAATCAGGTTGCTAAATAAAGTTTTTTCCAAGTTGGAAGAAGGATAAGTGAAGTCAATGATAGATAGTTTCACGGAAAAATTAACAAAAACAAAAAAATCATTTTCTATTCTCCATGTGTGAATAAACTATAAAAAAAGACAATTTTTCTCTTCTAAAAACACAGAAAAAAATAAAAAAATAACCTTATCTAGAGATTCACTCCGCCGCCGGTCAGCCAAACCGAAAGCACTTCTTTCGGTCACGGATTCCGATGATATCGATTCTTGTTCTGAAAACTTTGATCAACTACCTGAATTTATATGAAAAGTTTGAGAAGAAAAAACAAGGAAATGCAAGAAAAAAAGGAGCAAAATGATGACAAATACGACGCTCCACGGCAATTTCGCAATGGGGCGAACTTTCTCTCAGCTCTGTAGATTTACGCTGTTTTTCATTTTTTTTTTTTGCTCAAAGTTGTCAAAGTAATTTTGGCGATTTTGATGTTGATGCGACTTTATTTCGGACGTTTTTGGCAAAATAAGCAAAATAGGCATTTTGGGAGTTGTTTAAAATTGGGCCTTGGAACGACATTGCGACTTTTCGCGTTTTCAGGTCAAAATGACAACATTGATTGGCGTGTCGGGTGTTTTTGGGATCAGCGAAACATCCTGATTTTTTTCTGAGGCCTTAAATTTGGGGGAGGAATAAATTTCAAAAAAACATTTTTTTTAAGAAAAAGATTTTTCGAACCGATTTTTTTCAGGTCAAAATGGCAACAATAACAGCTGTATTAGATGTTTTTTTGGGACCAGCGAAAAAAATCCTGAATTTTTTTGAGACCTTGAATTTGGGGAGAGGGGGGGCGAAGGGGGATATTTCGAAAAAAACATTTAAAAAAATTTTTTCGAATGGAATTTTCCAGATAAAATGACAATAATTTTAGCTGAATTAGATGTTTTTGGAATCAGGGAAAAATCCTGAATTTTTTGAGTTGGAATTTGGAAATTTAGCGAGAATTTTCGTAAAGAAATATCTGGTCGAAGGACATAAAAGGCATGAAATTCAGATTTTCGAACCGACCTTTTCAGGCCAAAGTGGCAACCGTTTTAGCTGTATTGGATGTATTCGAAACCAACAAAAGATCTAGAATTTTTAAATGTTAGTGAAATTGTTCGAATGATGTTTCTTCAACGTCTGCAAATTGAAAGAAAACCCCGGCCAATTTTCAAACAATCTTAGCCATTCCAAATGCGGCCCAACCTTCAATCCGCGTCTCACAGCTGGCCGGGACAGATTCCACCGAAGCCGCCGACGTCGACGCCGCCGGAGAAACTCCATGGAAAGGGACGTGGTCGAAAGTGAATCTGGACCTCGACGAAGACGGCGTCGGCGTCGAGAAAGGCGAATCGTTCACGTTCAGCGGAGATAGTCCTGGAGGCGACAACGCGATTAGTGACGTCATCGAGCTGCCTGTAACTGTAACCTTCAGATTACGGTAGAATTCAGAGCTACAGTACCGAGAAGACAAGGCGACGGCGCCGGCGGACTCAGACAGACGACGACTCCAGAATCGGAGCTGGAAGAAGACGTCCGCTCGTCGCGGTAGGCGAACCATCGACAGTGCGCCGACGACAGCGAGGCCATCGCCGAGGCACTCCGCCGCTCCTGTAACATGAGCAATGGCGTGAGTCGTTTTGGGTCGGATGCAGCATGCAATCGGAGTATGGAGTGGTTTACAGAAAGTTCTCGAACTGCCTCTTTAAGAGGTCCCTCAGTTTTAACATTAGAACCAAAGTCTGTGAATCCTGGCAAAATTCAGAGAGTTCCCTTAAGGGTTTGTTTTTCTCCTTAAGTGGCCACTCAGATAGCATCTATATCCATCTCAAGTAACGAATAGACCTTAAGGGTTATTTCAAGGGAAAAATGAGGTTTTGAAGTCGCAGCCGACGCAGAAACTGTTGTTCAAGATGATGGTCAGTTTTATCAAGTTTCGAAAACATTTGGATCTTCACCCGACCTGATACGAGTTACGCTAACAAGACCAAAACACACCGAGAAGTTTGCTGAGACCAAAAATAATGAAAGCGAAAAAAAAAACCCTTTTTTTTCTTGGAAAATGGGGAGGCGGAGGGCGGAAGGTGATAAGAGCCGTGTCACAAGACCGATTTTGCAAAAAAGAATGACCACGAACAAAAAGTGACGTCATGAGGTGATAGCCGAGTCGCGAAGGTCTAGCGACTCGGCTGAACTGGCTTTAGGTCAATTTTTCCTTTTCTCGGAATGAAAAATTAACTTTTTTGGTATTTTTCAGGCCAAAAATGCGTGCTTAAATTTAAAAAAAGGAGAAAAATGACGTCATCAAATGATAGCCGAGTCGCTCAGATGAAGCTTAGCGACTCGGCTGAGCAAAATTTTCCGATTTGGTTCAACTTTTTGAAACATTTTCAGGTCAAAGAAGGATCAAAAGATCGATAAATTATCTCAAAAATGAGAAAAGTGACGTCATTGAATGATAGCCGAGTCGCTCAAAAGTAGCCGAGCGACTCGGCTGACCATTTTTTTTTTGATTTGGATCAGCTTTTTGAAACTTTTTTAGGCCAAAAAAAGATCAAAAGATCAATAAATTATAGTCTGTTCAGATTTTGAATGTCAAGTAGAATGACGTCATTCAAAAACACTCTGTGGATGGCTCGCTCTCTGATTGGTTCATTGCACCACTAGGGGCGGAGCTTGAGCGACGACTTGACATTTAAAATCTGAACAGACTATATCTCAAAAATCGGTGACGCCATAGATATGTAATAGCCGAGTCGCATGACTAAAAAAACGACTCGGCTAAACGGATTTTTCTGGAATTTCACCTTGAATTTCACTAAGTAACTGAAATATAAGCGATTTTCCACTAGCAATGGTTTTGAAACGAAAACAATAAATTTCTACAATATCCTTTTCTGGACAAGGTTACGGTGAATAGAGTATTGTCGATAAAATCCGGTTTTTTTTCCCATTTTTTCTGGATTTTTTCGAGACTTTTCTTAGGGCTATCCTATTGAAAATGGTCTCGAAACGAAAATAATAAGATTCTACAGTATCCTTCTTTGGACAAGGTTACGGTGAATAGGGAAATGTGGATGAAATTCGATTTTTTTTTTCTATTTTTTTTGGCTCTTTCCCAGGCTTTTCTGAGGATTTCCTATTGAAAGTGGTCTCGAAACGAAAATAACAGGATTCTACAGTATCCTTATGTGCACAAGGTTATGGTGAATGGACTGTTCAGGATGAAATCCGATAATTTTCTTTTTTTTTCCGAAAGAACTTGTGCTGAGTCGGTGGTTCCCGGGGTCTCGTGCCAAGAACAAAAGACGGGGCCTCTTATCGGGGAGTTTCACTGATGCTCAGGCCATTTTCACTTTCCAAACTCGCTTATCGGGCCCCCTTTCCGAGAGGCTTTTCCCACGCCAAACTTCGTCGCCCACTCAAGTTCTCTCGAGAGTTCCAGGGTCAAAGTATACTTGATTTTGAGAAAAATCTTGTTTTTCTCGGATTGAAACGGCGTAATTCAAAAAACATAGACAAAGTCGGAAAGACCCTTTACAGGCCTTTTGAGACTCCGTAATGGGTGCAAAAGAGGTCCATTAAATGTTTCTTAACGGCTGGCAACGCTTTCCTTTTTACTGCCTTTTTCCGTCCTCCCATCGGCCTTTATACACCCTTTTTGGACCCTTTTTAGAGACACAACATTTTTCAAATTGAGAATAATTTTTACATGGAATTAGCACGTAGAAATGAGAGACGTCGAGAGAAGAGAAGGGCGCAGAGAAGTCCCTGTCCTTTCAAACCGCCAAAACGGCTTATAAAATATTTTTGAAGAAACGATGAATATTAGATGGGAGAGATCACTCAAGAACACTTAAAAGCCCTAAAGAGATCCCTTGGTACCGAAAGCGGGAAATTGAAAATTTTGAACACAGGTCCAGAGAAATCCTCTCCTTTTTTTTTTCGATGAAATACCAGTTTTTGTTCAATTTCTTTTCTCGAATCTAGAAATAAATCGATTCTACTTTTGCAAAAATCAACATTTATTGAAGAGCCGACTAATGAGATCGTTAGATAAAATTTTTGAAACCGTAAACTCGTCGAAAACTGAATTTTTCTATTCTTCACATTTTCAAAAATGTTTTTAATATATTTGGATTCTCCTAAATAATCGTAAATCGTAAATCTCATTTCTACCACCCGAGTGGTCGGTTTTCATTTCCGCTCTCGTCCGAGATTCAATCCGACGCCCGTCAGCCCTGGACAAGCTGGGCGCCGTACTGTTCCCACATGGAGAAGCAGTGATCGTCGGAAACGCTCGAAAATCGTCTACTACTAGCACAAGAGAAGCGAGATGCTCTACGCGCCGTCTACGCTTGATCAACGACATTATCGCGAACCGACAAACAACTCTTCAATTATTCCATGATTCAGCGGAGAGCCTACTCTGAAGACTGAATAAAATTTCAAATTTTTCAAATTTCAAATTTCAAATTTCAATTTCAAATTTCAAATTTCAAATTTCAAATCGTAAATATTCATTTTGATCGGGAGGAAATAATCAGAAAATAAGCCACGGCCTGAATACCCAAATCGCGGCTCTTATTCAAACTTTTCGCGCCAATAATTTCGAGCTAGAGATTTTAAAAAATCATTCATATTATTTCCGGAGTTCACTTACGTTAACAATTTGAAAGAGTTATCGAAGTTATTAATGTAATCTCATAAACGTATTTTCCGCTGCTTTTTCACGACTTCTGTTTTCTCTGCGCTCTCCTCATTTCTAGACGTCTCTCTCACGTTTACGTGCTATTTCCATGTTTATCTGACCTCGCCGGTGAGGGAACAGAGAGACGCAGACGGGCAGAAAGTGTCGAGTCGCGGGGAATAGACTAAGGATTTTTGTTCCACCGATCACTAGCTATAAGCGCCGGCATATAGTGGTATTGCTCACGTTAATTCATTATAACTGATTGTGACCACCCGAAAAATGTTCAGAAATGTCTTAAAAGCCGCGGAAAATAGAATAGGGGTTTTTGTTCCACTGCGTCCGACCACAAACTACTTGCGCCAAAAGGCTTTTTTTTAGAAAATAAGAGGAAAAGTGCTGTTGTATTGCTCCTGTTAGCTCATTATAACCGGCTGTGACGATTCGAAAAAGGTCTAGAAATTGTTGAAAAGTCGCGGATTTTAAGACTGATGATTTTTGTTCCACTGCGTCCGACCAATAACAACTAGCGCCAAGAGGCATTTTCCTTTTAAAAATAAGAGGAAAAATGTAGTTTTATTGCTCATGTTACCTCATCATAACCGGCTGTTTCCATTCATAAAAAGGTCCAGAAATAGTTGGAAAGTCGCGGAAAATAGACTAGGCATTTTTGTTCCACTGCGCCCGACCCCAAACTACTTGCGCCAGAAGGCATTTTCCAGCAAGTCGCTCAAGGTCGGGCGCAACAGATAGTCGAAAAATTGCAAGCCGTGCCGAAAAAAAAGTAGAGATTTTAAAAATTCGTACCAAAGACAATGGCGACGGGATGTTGGCGACGAGAGGCGCGACGAAATTCGCGGGCGTCGCCGGCGACTGCGACGATTCGCCGGAAATTCGGACGGCCGGCGGCGGCAACCGTCGCGGCGACCGACCTTCGTCCATTACCTGGAAAATTTCGATTAGAATCGAATAAAAAAACGAAAAAAATAATAAAGGAGAAAAACACAAGAAATCATCAAGAAACATGAAAAAAAGTTCAATTTTGGTGAAAAAAATAAACCAATGTCGCAAAATTTTGGAATGGGTGGAGGTGCAGTAAAAATAGAACTTTTAATAAATTCTAAAATAGAAGAATTTTTTGTAGAAATTTTAAAAATCGAGCCAGAAAAGTTGTTCCAAAATTGATTATTTCGAAAAAACAAAAAAAATCACCAAAAAAACGACTTCACTGTTTCAGAAGTGGTATTCAAGAAATAATAAAAAAGTTTCACATTATTTCGATTTAGTGCTTGAGCAATTCAAATAACTCGCTTTTTCTGACCTGTCTGCGCTCTCCCTTCCCTCACTGAAGAGGTCATGGACAAATGGAAACAGCACGTGAACACAGGAGAGAGCAGGGAAAACAGGGAGGTCATAGAAAAATGGAAAAAGCATGTAAAAGCAAGAGAGCCCGAAGAAAAAGGGAGATCGTAGAAAATAGAAATAGCACGTCAAAACAAGAGATCCCAGAGAAAACAGGAAGTTCATGGAAAAATGGAAAAAGCATGTAAAAGCAAGAGAGCCCAGAGAAAAGAGATGGTCGATCTTCGAATTTTAAATTTTAAAAAAATAAATAAGGAAGCTTGAAAATTAAAAACAAAGGTCCGAAAGTCCATTCAATAAACTCCGAAAAAAATTTTTGAAGCTTGAAAAAAATTCCATAAACTTATAAGCCGCTGGGAAGTTTCACACACTTTAAGAGGGTGCAAAAAAACGGGAAAAGGAAGAATTTTCCCTTTTCTTTTTTGAATATTTCATCACCTCTCCGCACTTTTTCACTTTTTCCCCTCATTCGACTGAAAAATCTTCGTCTAAAAAAATAAAAAAATGAGGCCGAAAAAAATTGGAGATAGAAAAATTTTTTTTTTTGAAAAAAATTAAAGCTGTATTGCTCATGTTACCTCATTTTAACTGTTTATTTCCATTCAGATAACAAACTTTTTCGAAAAATAGGGAAGTAAGATCATTTTTTTAATTAATAATTCTAAAGTAAATTCTTGAAGAATATCAATAATTTAAATCTGCTAACATGAGCAATAGGGTTGAAAAATGAGCAAAAACAATCAAATTGAAAAAAAAATCATGAAATTGCCCCAGTTTTGTGTTATTAGAATACTTTAAAGCCCAAATTTAGCACGGCTAGACAATTTTAATGTTCTTAGTTTACAAAACCGTAAATTTCAAAGTGCGCCCGACCCAAAACGGCTTGCGCTCTAGGGCATATCATAGCAGCAAGCGACACGACCGCGACACTTTGAGACATTCCAAATGCGGCCAATGCTTCAATTGATATAAGACTACTAATAAATAAAATTTTTGAGCTCGGAGAACTGAACAAAAAAACCAGAAATATATGAAAAAAATCGTGGAAAAATTGAGGTTTTTTTGAAGATTTTTTTCCGAATCAAATTTCATTTTTGTTTTCTCAGCAATTCATCAAAAAAACGTTCAAAAAAAGTCAAAATCAGAAAAAGAAACGGGAAATTTTTTTCGATGTGAAACAACGCTTTTCCCGTCGAAAAAAATCAGATGGGAGTTTACAACTTTTGGCCTTTTATGGGAAAAATTTGAGGAAAAAAAGATAAAAAGAGATTGCAATAAACATTTGAAGGAAATGATGTTGGAACTGAAAAAAATGAGAAAAAAATTATTTTGTAGAAAAAAATTGGATTTAATACCAATTTTTTTGCAATTTATTGCTCATGTTGAAGAAATTTGAGGTTTTCTCCGTGGAAAAAAATTCATAAAGACGTTGTATTTTTTTGAGAAAAAAACCGATTTTTTTATTGCACACTATGACTCAATATTGCTCATGTTATAAGTAAGTCATTTTCATCGTATTAATCCAAAAGAAGAAGTAAGTTTATTGGATGGACAAATAATTCTAAATGGATGATGAAACAGTAAAATGAGGTTCAAACGAAAAATGAACTTTTCAGGGTCCTAAGAAATTCCATATGAAAAGTCATCGCATTTTTCTCGTTTTTTCGATAAATTTTGACGTCTGTCACCTTTTTCTTTGCCCCATTTTCATTAACTAAAAGTCCCACAGGTGCAATCTCCGAATTCTGAGAAATTGTTCCGGTTTGTCTGATTGGTTCGGCTTTTGCTCGGAAAAATGCTTTTCTGCAGGAGAAAAATGCCGTTTTTTCGAAATTCCAGCTGCCAAATTTGATAATTTTCATAATTTGAAGGGTTTTCTGGGTGATATGAGCAATAATGAGAAGTATTTTTCCGGAAAAAACTGCCAAGAAATTATTTTTGAAAAATCTTTAACATGAGCAATCCCTAGCAAGATGTTCTAATTTTTTCCAATCAAAACTTCAGCTGCCAAATTTGATAACTTCCATAATTTGAAGGGTTTTCCGGGTAATATGAGCAATGATGAGGTGTCTTTTTCCAGAAAAAAAACTGACAAGAAATCATTTTGAAAGAATCTTTAACATGAGCAATACGTAGCAAGATGTTCGAGAACTATATTTTGACCTTTTGTCAAAGTTTTATCTGCAAAAGTTGGTAATTTCCGAGTTTTGAAGCCTTTGAAGGGGTTCCCTCTGTAATATGAGCAACAATGAGGCGTATTTTCTAGAAAAGACTACGTCAAGAACTTGTAAAAGGAGGTTTTTAGAAAATCTCTAACATTAGCAATACCTAGCAAGATATCCGTAGTGTTTTGACTTTTTTCAATCAACATTTTAGCTGCGAAATTCGGATACTTTCCCGTTTTTTCTCCTTGTAATATGAGCAATAATGAAAAAAAGTTTGTAAAATGAGCAATATAAAGTATGGAATCTAACCACTACATTTCGAAAAATTTTACAAGTCCTCAGAAACAGGAAAAACAGTTTCGAGGAAAATTAAAAAGCCTTCTCATTTTTAAGGACGTAGGGAAACAGGGAGTTCAGTTATCTTCGAGAAAAAGGCGCCAAAATCAAAACTTCAGAAGGAGATGTTCAAAAAGTTGAATATTGTCATCTCAAATTTTGTGGGCGGAGTTTAAACATATAATATTAAAAGATTAAGTCCATTGACGCAAACTATATGTAGAGAAATTGGATAAAAGGCTTTGAAATGAGGAAAGTTGTTGGATTTTCTACATGGCTTCTGTTCTTTTTTTTTTCATTTCGTCATAGAAGAAGCCTTAAATTCTATATTATACTCTGAGTAACCTTGGAAATATCAAAATAATGATGAGGAACGAAAAAAAGACGTTAAAACGAGGTGTGAAAAAAAATGGCCGCGAAAAAGAGATTTTGCGCTCCATCGCTAATTTCTTCAAAAACCAATTTTAATTCTCTCCTTTTAATTAAAGTCAGGCGAATAATAAGAGAAATTAGTCGTTTTCAGTAATTATCCTCATAAAAAAAGGGAAAAAAATCTAGTTTTTGTCATATTATAAATGAAAAAAATGATGCCAAGAAAATTGAGATTTCCAAGAAAAAAATAAAGGCGGAAATCGGACGCCCAGGCCTTGGGTCGAAAAACAATTAAGAATAGAGGGAAAAAAATTGGCTTTTTTTCTGAATAATATTTGCAATTATATAGGGCATAACCATGGGGAAAAACCATTTATATATAATTTTTTTGAAACTGGAAAGTGATCTTCAATCTTTCTGTTTCGAAATGTTTTTTTCCAGACAACGTAAACCATAGATCCAATCAGGTTTTTGCATTGAGAAGGGTGACGGAAAAGCTCAAACGAGGCCTATTAAGGATGTTGAAGCTTAAATATCACGAGGAAGTAGGTTCAGGAAGGTCGTGGAAATGAGAAAATAAAGAAAAAAGAGATTTTCAAGTTTTCCAGAGCGAATATTTCGTTAAAATAAGTCGAAAACAAGGTTTTTGAGAACTTTTGATGAGTATTTGAGCCTGATTAGCCCGTTTATAGGTTTTTTTAAACTTTGAGTTGCGCCCGACTCGAAACAGTTTACGCGAATCTTCATTCAACAACTTGAAAATGACCGACGCTTTGAGCCATCCCAAATGCGGCCAGAAAGTGTTCTACTGCCTTTAATAAGAGAACATAAGAAAGGCTCAAAACTTAGAAGAGACTATTTGAAGTTGCGCCCGACTCGAAACGGCTTGCGCGAATCTTCATCGAACAACTCTAACACGACCTCGACGCCCTGAGCCATTCCAAATGCGGTCCAAAGAAGTCCATATTCGCCATGCGCCTTCAATAAGGAACATTGTCGATGTAACAAAGCGTAGCGAGCGATTTGAATTTGCATCCGACTCGAAACGGTTTACGCGCGATAGCATCTTCTAATTTAGCCATTCCAAATGCGTCCAGAGGGCACCATACTCGCCATGCGCCTTTAATAAGAAAACAAGGGGAAGGCACAAAGCTTAGCAGACACTATTTGAAGTTGCGCCCGATTCAAAGCTACTTACGCGCGAAGGTATTCGAAAACGCTTCCGCGACGTTTCGAGCCATTCTAAATGCGGCCAGAAAGTTTTCTTCTTCATTGATAAAGCCAAAAGCATAGCAGAGACTATGTAAAGTTGCGCCCGACTCGAAACGGCTTGCGCGCGGAAGCATTATTTAAAGTCGATTGGCACCACTTTGAGCCAGCCATTCCAAATGCGTCCAAAACAAACCATGTTCACTATGCGCGATAAATCCGCGGAAGGCACAAAGCCCAGCAGACTATCTGAAATTGCGCCCGACTCGAAAAGGTTTACGCGAATCTTCATTCAACAACTCGAAGATGACCGTCGCTTTAAGCCATTCCAAATGCGACCATGGGCACAATAAGTTTTTTTTTAATTTCTCAGAATTCAAACTAAAGAATAATTAGAAAAATCAACATAATTACTACCATAATTGGCTCGATTTTAATTGGAAACAAGTCGAGAATGATTCTTTTTAATTCGAAGAAGTTTCTCGGAATTTCAATTAA